TTGAATATTTTCACTGCTGAGAAGGAGTCCGACTAATGACACTAAGATCCCTTGTTGACTGGTGAGCAAAGGCCTGAAGAACTTTCTGGACAATTGCCAGCGTGTCCAGAACAGAGACCAGCTGGACCGGGACGGAGACGGCGTGGGAGACGCCTGTGACAGCTGCCCCGACATCCCCAACCCGAACCAGGTCAGTCGGACTTGGACAGAAGGACAGAGGCACAGATGGCTGTGGGGGAAAGTCATCTCCATTTTGACTTCCATTACACGGCGGAGATGGAAAATTGTACTTTTCGTTTCGCCACAACTCAACATCTCATGGCTTAAGTTACTTTTGAGACGAGTATTTAAAAATATATGTGACATGTTTATGGTTTATATGTCCGTTGTCGAAGATTAAAACAGTGGCTTAAATGACAAATTGTGTCTCTCTTAGATGCATACCTGTTGTTATTTTCACAGATACATTGTTGTCTGCTGGTTTTTCTTTAAAAAATGAGTTCAAGTTTGTGTGATTTTATCCCTTCTGTCTTCTCCTCATCTGCCGCCCACATTTACTTGATTACTTTCGTTGAACTCTGTGCTCTTGTTGCAGTCTGATATCGACAACGACCTGGTGGGAGACTCCTGTGACACAAACCAAGACAGGTAATAACGTCGTCTCCGTGTCGTGATCTGACATCTGACCCCGTGCTTCCACCACGGCTCTTTCCACATCACGTGACGGTGCCGCTTCCCTTCACCCCCCCCCGTAGCGATGGCGACGGTCACCAGGACACCAAGGACAATTGCCCGTTCGTAATAAATAGCTCGCAGCTGGACAGCGACAAAGACGGGCTCGGTGACGAGTGCGACGATGACGACGACAACGACGGCATCCCGGACTCTTTGCCGCCGGGTCCCGACAACTGCCGGCTGGTTCCAAATCCGGACCAGATCGACGACAACAGTGAGCGCACAGCACCTCCCGATGTGTAGCTCACAGCCTCCGTTAACAGACCAGACTGGAATAAATAATAATGTTTATACAGGAAATAAACAGCAGCGAGTAGAGAAACTGGAGCAAACACAGCATCTCTCACGCTGAGCCGACACAGCAGGGTGCCGACGAGAGAGACACAGTCCGTCCACATTAAACAAATACGGCTTGTTCTGTTCCTCAATTGGACTCATTGGGCATTCGTGGCTGTTTTATATTCATACTCTGTCTGCACGTTTTGACATTTTCACCTCGGCCAGTCTGAAATCTCATTGCGACCTCGCAGGGGACACACTTCAAAAAGAACAAAATGAGCGCAACAATTTGCATGAATTACACAACACAACCTCTGTTAGTAAAGAGACGTTGAACAGCTGAAACAATAACTCACATTTCTCACTTTCACTGCTTCACGACTTTAAGTCTGAATCGTCTCTCTGTCCCTCAGATGATGGAGTTGGAGACATCTGCGAGTCTGACTTTGACCAGGACAAAGTGATTGACAGGATCGACAACTGTCCTGAGAACGCAGAGGTCACCTTGACCGACTTCAGGGCCTATCAGACGGTGGTACTGGACCCCGAGGGCGACGCCCAGATTGACCCCAACTGGGTTGTTTTGAACCAGGTGAGTGACTATTTTCTATCTATCTGTAGATATTTATATATCTATAGATAGATATGGATGTCATAAAAACAACTCTCACACAGGGAATGGAGATTGTGCAGACCATGAATAGTGACCCAGGACTTGCTGTTGGTATGAACCATTTCCTTTTGTGTTGAATATCTGACAGTAAAATGCATTTAGAGTTCAGTGAAACAGCGCTTTCCCTCTCCGTTGTCAGGCTACACAGCTTTCAGCGGGGTGGACTTCGAGGGAACGTTTCACGTGAACACGGTGACCGACGACGACTACGCCGGCTTCATCTTCGGCTACCAGGACTCGTCCTCCTTCTACGTGGTGATGTGGAAGCAGACCGAACAGACCTACTGGCAGGCGACGCCCTTCAGAGCCGTGGCCGAGCCCGGCATCCAACTTAAGGTGAAAGCGCGAGTCTTCGATTCCCCCCCCGGGCGGCAGATTCACGCTCGTCCTAGTATTTCCTCATATTTTCCATATTTCTGCCTCCCTCTCGCTCGCCTGTCTGCTTCCACCCGCCTCTCTGTTACCCGTCGCCGTTCATCAGGCTGTGAAGTCCAGATCTGGCCCCGGGGAGCACTTGAGGAACTCGCTGTGGCACACGGGGGACACCAACGATCAGGTGCGTCTGCTGTGGAAGGACCCCAGGAATGTGGGCTGGAAGGACAAGGTGTCCTACCGCTGGTACCTGCAGCACCGCCCGCAGGTCGGATACATCAGGTACGCTCCATTCCGCCAAAGCACCCACCCGAGGTTTAAACGCCTGGTTTCACAAAAGAAGAAGAAGAAGAAGAAGACACAGCAGCCGGTTAGCTTAGCTTAGCATAAAGGCTTGAAACAGTGGCTCTTGCGTGAAGAACAAAATCCACCTACCATTGCCAATAATCACAAATATCTCTAACTACTATCTTGTAATCTAACTTAAAGTATTTAAAGCATAATTGCCAAAGAGTTGAGGATAGATGGTGTTGCCTTTGTTTGGTTTAGGGCGCGTTTTTATGAAGGAACTGAGCTGGTTGCAGACTCCGGAGTCACAATCGACACCACCATGAGGGGAGGCCGACTCGGCGTCTTCTGTTTCTCCCAGGAGAACATCATCTGGTCCAATTTGAAATACCGCTGCAACGGTGAGCAAGGAACACACACTCCCGATTCTGTACATCCTACACGGGTTTCTATTCTATTGTGGGGGTTTTTAAAAATTATTTGTCAGTGAATGCCGGGGAACACGCGACCCCGCGGGTGGTTTGCACTACATGTCCTCTTTCATCGCTCGGGTCCGAGAGGTGATTTTTAGATTAGAGTTGTTAAGTTGTCGCTCGCCTCGGTGAATAGAACACACAGCTCGCCCTCGCCTTGGCTTGATGTTCTGCGCTCGTCTCACGATGCTCGACTTCTCGCTCCCACAGACACCATCCCAGAGGATTTCCAGGAGTTCAGCACTCAGCACGGCGCCGACTCGCACTAAAGTCGAGACGAAGAAAAAAACATGACACCGGCTCTACGAAGACCTGCGTCTGTGTGTAAATGTGTGAGCGTGTGCGCGTGTGTGTCTGTGCGTTCATGTGTTTCAGTGCATATATATCGCGGTACTGTATGTATCATCACGTCTCTTTTTTTCGTGACCCAGTTGTGTTTTTATTTGATTATCTCTTAAAGAATTCTTTTGAGCTCATTATGCTGAAGGTTTTAAGTTATAATTATTTTTACTGAAAATGTCACGTGACATGACTTGAAAACAAGAATGTCACATCAAATTAGATAATAACAAGTGTTCAGTAATGGAAAGCTTCCATATATCTTCAAACAACTGGAAGGAAAGTCATCGCTTAAAATCCGCCTCGTACCAAATGCTGCATTTTGACTGTAAACTGTTTTTTTCAGAGCGGTATTTTTACTATTTGCAAAGAGGACACTTTGTTTTGCACGACTCAAATGTCAGACTGTGCCGTGCCCCACTTACTGTTGAAGATGACCTTAACCAGGTCTGGTTTCTCCATCATTTGGTGCTTGACATCTTGATCATTTCATCATCTCTGTAGTCACAACCCTGGTAAAAAAATAAAGGGCCTTAAAGAACATTGTTCATTCCAAATGTGATACCACTATTATTCCCGTTTATCTTTTTAAATGTTTACCAGTTGGATGATTAGATGTGTTATAAGACGACATACAGGCAGACGTACTAGCATGCACGTCACAAAGGAACCACGTGAAAACAACCTCTACTTCCCCAGTAAGCAGAAGCTTTTATAGGTTTTAACAGAAACAAAGCTGCCCGTTTTGCTTCAGCCGGAAATATTTCCCTAATAAGAACATTCTTATCCCTGATTAGCTGCTGGGATGAAAAGAAAGACTTTGGCCTTTGCTCTTGGCGGGACGTCCTCCACAAAAGAGGCAGGAAAGGTTTTTTTTGAAGGCTTTCATAAGCAGCCAACGCACCCTTTTTTATTATCGAGTCGCATCCCTTCGTAACAGTGCTGTGACTTATCTTCATCTTAGAGAGGTAAGATTTATTTTGATTATTTACTATGTGAGAAGATTAATTACTCATCTTTTGTGTATGCAGTGCTTTATTTTGCTAAGAAAGAGAATTACATTCAATAGCAGCCCACTATGAAGTTAAACCAATACATACAACAGGAATTAATCTAGTTCAAGCGGGTTATAATTTTGAACTAGTAATGATGAGTTGTTGCAATCTTTGATTTTCTTATTATTTGAAAGGTGTGTTTTCGTAAAGAAGAAAAGCACACGTCTTAAACCAAGTTCAAGGGGCCTCATCAAAACGCTCAAACACAGGAAACACAAGACAATAGTCAAGAACATCGTGGTCTGAAATACCTTTGGACACACGGAGGGTTGGATAACAGGATATATATATATATATATATATATATATATATATATATATATATATATATATATATATATATATATATATATATATATATAGAGAGAGAGAGAGAGAGAGAGAGAGGTTTCTATTCACGACACCAGTTGTGGCAGAGTGGAGTTCACGGGTTTCTACACTTGTTGATTCTTAAGAAGTGTTGTGGAACAGACAAGGAAGGAGGCTGAGAGATCAAGAGGTGCAGCGCTCTGAAAACTAGAAACAGGCGCAGTGGGAACTTATTCCGGAAACCTGCTTTGATCACGCCTTCAAAAAAGAAACTCTTTTTTTTTTTTTTTTTTTTTCTCATCAAAAGAATAGAAAACGACGCGACAAACTGACGCGGAAGTTGAAAGTTAATGTGACATTTCTCGGTTGGAGTTGTTCCCACCTGAGGGGACGAGGGAAGATAACAATACGGGATATTATCATGTCAAAATGTCACCTGCTTTGCATATTTTGCCATCTCATGAACATTTAGAGACGTTGAGATATAGTTTACGTAAATATTAGAATGAAGGAACAGTAAGATACAACAAACTAAGATGAATTCACTTAGATTACAGTAAAAGGAAGATGAGTAACATTTTTTTAAATGACGACAACGTTACATGATACGCAAATAACACATAGCGTGTCAATCCATACACGTGACACCACAGAGCCCTCATGTCCGAACAGGAAGTCTATTCTGTTTCTATGGATACACCTTGAGGCCTGTAAACACAACTGATTATCGCTCATAAATAAGTTTATTCCTTCCCCAGTTGCAGCGAATTGTTGTCTTAACTCCCAAAAATACAGATATATCTTGTAGGGAGTCAAAGAATAGGTAAGCTACACAATTATTGTTTTCTTTCAACAACAACAAATGATGTTGTTTTACTTCCGCCGCTGTCGAAAAGACTCCTGTGGTGAACTGTGATGTCATCGAGTGAGGACGGCGTCCTCCGGCCTCCACAGGAAGGAGCTCCGACATGCTCCTCCCTCTCCAGAGCTGTCGGCCTCGTCACCGGGGACATGCGCCTCTGCAGAGAGTGGGTGAAAAGTAGGCGATGAACCTGTCCAGTCTTCAAAGGTCACGTGACAGCGACACTTGAGAGCTAATGAAAATGTAGAAATTTGAATGGTAATGCGGGAGATGACAGAATGACGTCCCTGTCCGTCAACGACAGGGCAGCCGGCGGTCGTCCAACTGCTGGACTGGACCTGTCGAGGCGTAGCCCAGGTCATGTTTGTGAACAACCCTCTCAGCGGGCTCCTCGTCACGGCCGGCCTCTTCCTGCAGGACCCTTGGTGGGCTCTGAGCGGTCTGCTCGCTACCTTTGTCTCCACTGCGTCCGCCTTCTTGCTGGGACAAAACAGGTCGGACTGCATGTCTTTGTCCTTTTAAACAGCATTTACCTCCTTTTGAGGCGCCGTCGCTTCCAGTTGTGCCCCCCCCCCCCGCGTGGCTACTCTTTGTCTTTCATGGCGTGTGTCCCATTTAACTGTGTTTTGCGTGTCTGTCCCATTGACCACAGGGAAGCCATATCAGTGGGCTTACACGGCTACAATGGAACGTTGATCGGCATACTGATGGCGGTGTTCTCTGCCAAAGGAAGCTGGTACTGGTGGCTGCTATTGCCAAATATGTTCTTGTCCATGTTGTGGTACGTGTCCTCTTCAATGTCCCCTGATTTTGTTTGATTGCACACATTTGGCCGTTTGAAATTGTGAGCAAATTTTCAAACAAAGAGTCCTCGATTTCAGACTTTTAAAAGCAGCGTCTCAGGCGGCGATGTTTCCGCGCTGAGATGACAACTCACTAAGTAAGACGACGTTAGAGAGGAGCCCCCCGCCTGACTCATCTACACACATTTTGTCTGGCAAAAAGACTATTTTGATTTGATCAGCCAGCCAACTAGCCTCTACAAGCGCTCAAATCCGAGAGCTAGTTTGAATCGATCCAGATGGGCTTCCGTCAGCGTTTGGTAATTTGCCTTTTTGGGTCAATCAGTAATCCATTTCTTCTGTTCACAGCCCGGTTGTCTCCAGCGCTTTGTCATCTGTTGCCTGCAAATGGGACCTCCCAATATTAACCCTGCCCTTTAATATGTTGGTCTGTCTGCACGTTGCGGCCACGGGAGCCAATCACCACTACTTTCCTCAGGTGCAGCACGACACTGCCAAACAAGATCCACATACAACAGCGCATGAGTGCAAATGAAAACGTGGCCTACTTTTTCTGCAATCTCAGGCGGACATGCAGCCAAAGGACCATCTGCACCCTGCTAATGACTCCATGGAAAGCCTTGATGTCTCTCGAGTATGTGACGGCAATGTCAACGGCCCGGTAGCCCCATTAAAAATCTCCACACAATCTGACGCATCACATTGGCCGTGCTGCACGTACGTGATGATGACGATTGTCTAAAACTGTTTTAAACAGTAAGTAACGGAGGCCTTCCATCTGCAGCTATTCCTGTCGCTGCCCGTTGGTGTTGGCCAGGTGTACGGCTGCAGCAGTCCTTGGACAGGGAGCCTCATCCTTCTGGCCCTGCTGCTTTCCTCACCGACGATCTGTGCTCAGGCCATGTGGGGCTCTGCTGTTGGCATGTTATCTGGTGAAAAGATGCCACACCATCTGAATATGCACAATATGTCTGCAGCGGCAGCTGTGGGCCTTCAAAGGGCACCTTGGCATTAATAGTTTGTGCGGTTGCTTGCTGTTGGACATTGCATTGAACATTGCGCTGGTCTCTGTGATGCAGGTCTTGCTCTCGCAGCCCCTCGCGAGGACATTTACTCCGGGCTGTGGGGATATAACTGCGCTCTGTCCTGCGTTGCCATCGGAGGGGTCTTCTATGTCATAACCTGGAAAACGCATCTACTGGCTCTAACATGTGGTAAGATCGATGATGCGACCGCTCAATATTCTCCGCCACAGGAAACTGGAACTGGTCGCTCTTATTGCCAAATGTGTTTATGTCCATGCTGTGGTAAGTGTCCTTGAATGGCAGCGAACTGATCAGATTGTACACACTTTGCTACCTGAAATTCTTAATAACTTTTGAGACAATGAGTCTTTGGTTTCAGATTGACTCTTTTTCAAACAACAATCCTGAAGTTGTAAGATTTTCCCTGTAAAAACAGACAGTTGTAGATTTTATCGGTCAGACATTTGCTAATCAAGCAGTGGAATTCTAGAAGTAAATCCAGGTGGGATTGTAATGTCAAGTTGTAGTTTGCCTTTCCGTCCAATCAGTAACACAAAATTGAACTGTAAAAATGTTTCTTTCCAGCACTTTTCTGCGCATACTTGACTGCAGCGATATCAAAGCTGATGTCTATGGTAAGTGAAAAACGTCCCTCCCTAGTCAACGCCTAATAACGTAATCTGAACCGGGATATATCTCTCATTTCATGTGCCATGCCTTTGACATCCTCTGAAATCCCCTTTCAGCTCGCATTACCAGCCTGCACGTGGCCTTTCTGCCTGTCGACTCTCATCTTCCTCCTCGTTTCCTCTGAGACGGCCGCCATCTGCAGACTTCCTCTGTCTGTGGTCTCCTACCCCGAGGAGAACCGCCGCTGCCGCACACGGTTGGAGGCCTCAGAGAAAGCGCCGCTCAGTCAGCTGAGCGGCAGCCAAGACGAGGTCCAGTTTGGGCCGGACAGCAGCTGCAGAGAAGCTCTGTGTCATTAGAGGAGATGTTCTTACACTGAGTGTGAAACTGAGGGAATGGTAGGGGGATGTAAAGTCTTAATATTTCCTCTTTTACATAACCGTGTATGTTATATAAAATGGCTGGCAGTACAGCTATTTTATCAGCAGGGGGCAGCACTTTGCAAGGAAAGATCCCTCCGTTTGTCTTTTAAATAACCAGTTCGCAAAACTTTTTACTTTGGTGATGTTTTACATCATTACAAAACCTGTCCACCTGGTGACCTTATCATCCTTCTTAGGACAACCTCGCTCCACTTTTCCCTTAAGCAACCAGATTTTTTCATCTCTAATGAAGGGAGGCCACAAAGATGTCAGCTGATATGTATGTGAGGCTCCCTTTTCTCCATTTATATTTACATATATGAGTAAATCTGTGTGTGTCTGGTGCTCCGGGCCCCGTTGCGCTCGTCAAGCCGGTGGGACACATGACAGACAGTCACACTCTCAGGCACGTGTGGGAGGCGCAGTGCGTCGGGGGAGAAGGTGCGAGACGAGGGAAGGGAAAGGACTTGACAATGAGAACGTCTCGTGTTCTTGGATGGTGATAAAATATGACTTGTTATGACAGATTTGTTCTTTCCTTGAATGTGTCATTTCTTTCTGTAGTGCATTTTATCCCAATATCTCAAACCTTTTTCTACTTCATATTCCAAAGTCGTTCCAACGGCCCCCGGTTCATTTTTCCGCCCCCTTCAGGTAAAGAGTGACCTCAGTCAGTTGGCCTTTTTTCACCCGTCGATTCACGCAGAGACCTTTTGAGATACTTGGGGTAAGCGTTGGCGGTGGGATGGTGCGAGATGAGGTTGTTGTCACCTCCCCTGCGCCAGTACTTTCTGCTCACGGCGATGTGATTCACCTTCCGGAGCGGCCTGCAGGCAGCTCCCATGCGGGGACGAGGCCGAGGCCTCCACACACTCTGAAAGAAGCATGTTCCTTTGTCTCTGCACAGCGGCGGCGTGTCGACTCCAGCGGCCGTCGGTTGGGAACAGCAGGTCTCACATAACCAAGTGTTTTATAACCGTGTGGTATTAACAAAAAGAGGATAACATGCATCATAAGTGGCAAAAGAACCGGGGAAGACTGGTAATACTATACTACGTATGGGGGTGTTCTGAAGAGTCATTTGTGATCCATATTTAGGAAATTAAAACGGATATAGAAATATTACTTGAGATTTGTTAAAATTGTCTAAACACCAATAAAGCAATAAAAAAGCCCATCTACAGAAATGGCATTTCCAGTGAATGTACCCTCCTTAAAGTAAGCTCTACAAATGAGCAAATATTAGGTTCAGATCAGGAAATACTTTGGGTCTTATGGCTTTTTTTCAACAATTGTGTACCACAAACACAAGTCTTTCTCAGCAGTGGAGACTTTTACGATATAAAGGTTACATAAATAATCATACAGTTTATATTCTTGTATAAATGAATAAATTGTGACAAAGTGTGTCATCTGTTATCCATGAGAGTGATCACCACGGATCCTGTCAGCTGCTCAGAGACGATCCATCTACTTCTGGACATGCGAGAGGACCAAACAACACCACGAGAACAGCTCAGCTGCGTGATCGATTCTCCCCGAGACTGACAGGAAACGTTGTATGTGTGTGTTCCACGAGAGACAGTGTGAATGCGTGAAAAAGAAAACAGCCCAACAACACCCAGACTGTTCCCGTGGGCCGCTGTGATTCAGTATCGCTCTCAGCGGGGAGGAGCCGCGTGACGCCGCGTGACGCCGCGCGCTCCACGCCTTCCAACCAAATTTGTCTGCAGCTTCCTGTGAGACGGAACGAGGATCTGCAGGAAACTCCAAACGCTCCGATTGGACGGACGAACAGGAAGCACTGCCATGTATGTGCGCTCCCCGTGACACCGACTTCCTCATCCACGGCTGCACAGTCGAGTCAGTGTCGTAATCTACGACCCTGAATAGAAATGCTGAAACATTGAAAGCGGAGTTCAAGCTGACTTGCTTCTTCTTTTTTTTGCCAAAAGAGTGGACTACGTGCAGTGATGACTTGTAGATACAGGTCAACATTGTTGTGTGGTTTTGTACGTTTTGGGGGTTGCTCCATGGATGATACAGGTATACATTTTGTGGACAACTACCCCACTTTACAAATGAGCGTAGAATAAGCTTAATTATTGCTAGACATTATGATCTATACCCATAAATCACCTTCATCCTGCACAGAACTGCAGTAGAGTTTAACCTGTATAGCTATTTTGTAATATTATACAACCACTTATTATTATTGTTGTTATTATGAAAACATCTGACTCAAAAAATGTCCATTGCTGTTTCTGGGAAGGCATCATTGTGTCCTTCAGTCAGTCAACACGATTTAGAGGTGATATCTTGAGATTTCACTGGAGCAAGATATGTGAACACCCACCAAAAACAGCTCTAACACATCTCAATTACGTAACTTCAAGATGTCCCCTCCTTGTACAGCTGTTGGCTGTTAAATGGTTCATTTGCATGTATTGTCTGAAGCACTATGATTGCTATGCAGAACCACGGGGGTGGAAGCATTGACATGCACACCTGCACAATCCAATGGTCTCATAAATGCTGCCGCTTTAAAGCTTTTTGACCTTTCAGTGAAAACTTAATTAACAGGACAGATTGGCTCCATGTTCATTTTCAACTGAAATTAACCAGAAAACATTTAGTGTCAGTCTATTAAGGTTGTAATTTACACTTTGGATTCTGCCGAGCTTTAAGGTCCACATTTTCTTTCACCCTCACCCCTTAATGATAACTGCTGCCATTATTTCCTTCAACCTCAGATTCATCTTGGACTCTCTAACCTGCCTAAATGTGAGATTTACTTCAAACTAACTCCACCGCAACCATCTAGAACAGTGCAATGCTGCCTGCATGCCTCCCTAATATATCAGTCCTTTTTCTACTTTGAGTACATTTTGTTCATAGTACTTCTGTGAATGTATTTCCTTGAGTTTAAATGAAAGATTGTTCAAATCAGTGCAGAATTTTTCTTTCATCCACAGCGAAGTTACATAACTGACATCTAAAGAAAGGCATAAACAGTCGTTTGGGGAAACAGGTGACTGTCTGGAACAGTGTCTGGACACGCAGCGGCGGTCTGCTCGACCTGTGCAGTCTGTGATATAAATAAAATAAATAAATTAAAAAAAGAAACACCGTGTACCGAGTCGTGACTGACTTTGCAGAACTCCGGAAGCGAGCCTCGACATGGAGCGGGAGGCTGCAACATCCGCGTCATCACCGCCGGAGCACCAATGGCTTTCCGCCGAGCCACCGGAGGACACCGGCATCCCCTCCTCGCCCCGCCCCGCCCGCCCCATCCCGATGCCGCACGGTGGGAACGAGGCGGACCGGGGAAAGCTCGGTCACGCCGCGTGGGCGGTGTGAGTGGATAGTAGCCGAGCTGCCGCGGCGGTATTTAAAGGAGAGCCGGCGGAGAACTCAGGCAGGACGCAGCAGCACCAGCACCAGCAGCAGCAGACTTCAGCACCAAGGACAGCGCAACATAAAAAGCTCGCAGCGGACATCATGGTTCTCATCTGGACTCAGTTCGGCGTTAAGCACAAAAATGTCAACGTCAAGTGCAAAGTGCGAGTAATGCACAGAGGAGACAGCTCGGGCTCTTCGTCGTCAGCGGTAAGTTACATTAATGAATTATTTAACAGTTTTGTCTCGTTAGCACTACTTTTTTTCTTTGTTAAACAAATCCCTGAATTATTGTAAATTTAAGCTGTTGAAATACTACGTTTTAAGGTAATAGTCGATCCGCTGTAAAACATCTCGTAGAAGCATCTCTGTACTTTATCATCATTGACTGATTTCTGTTGCTATGGAGTCGCCGATTCGCGTTCAGCCAATCGCTGCAGAGAATCTCGGTAGTTGGGGGAAATCTTGTTCCCCTCGTGACTCCCTCTCTCTCTCTGTCTCTCGCTCTGCAAAAGAGCATTTTTATTTTATGAATGGAAATGGTTTTAATGGCAACTAAATGTTCTAAAAGGCTCATTTTTCTTATTTTCAACAGGAAAGCACCAAGTCTGAGCCGGACACGCCCTGCCTGGCCATCAAGCCCACAGGCAAAGACTTCTACAAAGTCCTGGGTGTCATCCCTGAATCCAATGAAGATGAGATCAAGAAGGCCTACAGGAAGATGGCTCTCAAGTTCCACCCGGACAAGAACAGCGATGCCGATGCCGAGGACAAGTTTAAAGAGATCGCGGAAGCCTACGAGATCCTGACTGACCCGAAAAGGAGAAGCATCTATGACCAGTTTGGAGAAGAAGGTAAGAGTGAGATTTCATTCAAACAGCTCCAAGAGCAACAGGCATCTGGCTAATTACTGCATGCTGGTGCATTAACTATTCATGCCTTCATTAAGGCTAAATACTGATGCTCAGTGGGAGGAGTGAAACACTTCCGCCTCTATCAAACCCGCTCATCATGTGCTGCAGAGACAGCTGGGAGGCTGATCAATTATTCAGCTATTTCAGTTTCCTGAAAACTCCTAAATGGCCGATGATTAGTAACCCTTCTGGAGGGAGAGGCACTATTCACATTGAAGAAGCATCAATATTAGAATAGAAATGAAGTGCCGTGGCGAGCTGCAGATTTAGGGGAAATCTAAATGAACTCTTGTCTTTTTTTTTTTCTTTGAAGGTCTTAAAAGCGGAGCGTCAACGGCGGGCCAAGGCAACGTCTCTCGCCACAACTTCCACACCGATCCCCACGCCACCTTCTCCTCCTTCTTCCACGGCTCCGACCACTTCGACATCTTCTTTGGCAACGACAACGACAGCGAAGAAGAGCTCTTCAACCCCTTCAGGCGGTTCCCCTTCAGCCACGTGGGCGGGATCCCCGACGGCGGCGGCCTGCGAAGAGGCCAGCGGCGGCTGCAGGGCGACGAGGTGGTGCACGACCTGCTGGTGACCCTGGACGAGGTGATGCAGGGCTGCACCAAGCACGTGAAGATCACCCGCAGCCGCCTCCACCCCGACGGGCGCAGCCTGCGCTCCGAGGAGAAGGTGCTGAACGTGGTGGTGAAAAAAGGCTGGAAGGCGGGGACCAAGATCACCTTCCCCAGGGAGGGGGACGAGACGCCCAACAACACCCCCGCTGACATCACCTTCATCCTCAGGGACAAAGAGCACGCCCAGTACAAGAGGGACGGCTCCAACATCGTCTACACCGCCACGATCACCCTGAAAGAGGTGAGTTTTATGAAACACATGACGGCCCAATAAGAAGATACACTAGTCCGGTACTTGCACCCACTCAGAGGAAGGCGGAGATCCATCCACCACTTATCGATTACATAACAATGCGCTGAAATACCAGAGCAGATCGATAGTGAAGAGAGGGCCTTGAAGGTTTGATCCCCGCCAAATGCAGAGAGGGCGATGTGTTTGAATGGAGTCTGAGGACAGAACACGGTGTTCCGTTTCAGGCATCGGAACACTCCCCCCCCCCCCCTCCCCTCACCCACAATTGGCTGACGGACCCCTCGCTAACAGAACAGCAGCAGGCCGCCTTCGTTACCTCACCAGCCCCTGCAGAGAGAGAGAGAGAGAGAGAGAGAGAGAGAACAGCTAAATTTAGCCTCGGCGCTGACGGCCCCCGCGAATCACACTTCACTCTCCCTCTCTCAGCCACTATGTGCTGCTGCTGCAGACTCCGCTGCCTCTGCAAGCCGGGGCTGAGAGGCCGTTTTTTTTTTTTCTTGGCTCTGGCTTCTGCCGGCCCACGCACAGATTAGCAGTCAGAGAGAGAGTGGCATTTCAAAGAGCGCCCACCATCTTCAGGCACCGAAGCACTCAACTCCCACACGGAGTCCGTAAATAGGGCCGAGATCATCTCATCTGTGGCACCGCTTTGTTGCATAACACAGAAATTCGTCATGCTTTCAGAAAGACAGACGCTCCATATTTGTCAGTTATGTAACCTGACACTTTTATAGATCAGCCATTGACTTGGCTTTTGTTCAGTGTGCTCCATTCCAGTCATAACGAGGCCATTCGGGAAGCGTTACGAAACTTGTTCCACAGTATAAAAACAGGTCCACAAAAACTAACTTCTCTCCCTCCTTCTTTTTCCTCCAGGCTCTCTGTGGCTGCACGGTTAACGTTCCGACACTTGACAACCGGATGATGCCTCTGCCGTGCAGCGACGTCATCAAACCGGGGGCCGTCCGGCGGCTCCGGGGCGAAGGTCTGCCGATGCCCAAGAGCCCGTCCCAGCGGGGAGACCTGGTGGTGGAGTTCCAGGTGCTCTTCCCCGACAGGATCCCGCCGCAGTCTCGCGAGATCATCAAGCACAGCCTGGCCCAGTGCTAGCCTGCTTTTACATTCAGCGACCTGATCGACACAGCTTCACCACGCGTGTGTTTGTTGTTGTTATTATCGATCGACGGACACAGCCTTGCCCGGGGTGCTAGTTTCACGACACAATCACAACCTCTTTATTGTGTTTTCGAAAATGGCGCTCAAGCGAGTTGTAGTTCGGGGAGGGAGACGACTTTCTGCAGGCACGAGTACGATGCTACAGGAGCAGTTAGTTAAGATCTGATGAATGGGGGTCTTTAGTATCTGAGGGCGTCCATTGACTCAGCAGCCTTTCTCTTGAACGAAAAGGTTATGTGCACTGTTGTACTTGCAAACTCCATATAGCAGGATATCAGCGTGCGTTCAAGTCTGTGTAGACTTCTTTAAACCTGTGGTAGAAACACATGATGAAAAAAAACAACAACTTTACTATGGTTATATGGTGCTCATATGACTGATCTTTTGCATTGAATTATTACAATAGCAAAATATACTTGTGTACAAGGATCTACTTTGTGTACAAAATGCAAAAATGTTGTCTCTAAAAGAGATTCCTCTGTCAAATGTTCTATTGAATTATTTGAAATGTTTGTATATTTCCTGCGACGGCTGCCAGCAGTTGATGTATCAATACCTGATATAGACATGTTCGGTAGCGTGAAAATAAAAAATAAAATCATTTAAAAAAAACACCATTTGACTTCTCTTCTTCGTGTGAAAAACATGTTTAAGTGGACAACACAACACAACAAGTCCATAACATGAATTAAAACATGCTCAATCGTGCTTTATTATATATAATTGAAATCACACCGCAGCCTGCAGGAGTCCGGTGCCTTGCTGCCACCTAGCGGTGGTCGGTGGCCGCGCACGCTGCACATGATAGGACACACCTGTGGATCTGTGATTTATGTGGCTGCCAACTGAGCCCGCGTCGCACAGTGGCCTCAGATTGCGCCTGTGCTTTGTTAACACCGACAGAACGCGTTTACCACGATGAGGACCAGAGGGGTGAAAGACAACAGTCCCGCTTGGAGACTTTTTGCACGTGAGAACCAGATCGGCACGTGGCTGTTAGACCAAAAAATTAAGAAACACTTTCAACCGCGCAGCAGCCCACGTTGATTGGCACGTCGACCCACCTGCGCGCGTCCCCGGGCGCCGTGGAAACTCCGCGGAGATCCGCTTTCGTCTTAAATTCTGCCTTCATGTCCCCTGGGATGAAATGTCGCGGATAAGTCAGTCCACGCCATCCAACGTGACGGAGGTTTACCCCGTGACCAACCTGACCTTAGTGGTCCTCCTGCTCATACCCTGCGTGGTCGTTCTGCTCCTTCTCAACTGCCTGTTCCTGGGTTACAAGTTGCTGATCTTGTCGGAGAGGAAGAACCGGCGGCCGCGCGGGGACGCGGAGGAGATGCTGCTGCAGTCCACGCTGCGCCGAGCCCGCCGCCACGGGGCGTCAGACGTGGCGTTCCCGTTCCTGTCTACGTCGGAGCCGGTGGTCGCGCATCCCGTCACGTCCTCCAGGGCTTCCTCCAGGGAGAGGCCCGCGGCCGATCGCAGGACCCGGCAGGTGATGCCGGACGGCGCGACCGGCTCGGGGTCGACGAGGGCACCGAGCACCATCCGGGCCGCCTCCTCCGCGGCCGGTTTCACCCCCAGACTCGATCCGCCGTCCGGCTCGCGGACGCGCGGCACCGGTAAAGCGGGATGGCGTAAAAGCGCGCCGGTTGTACCGCAGTCCAGTGGGTCAGAGGCGGACACCAGAGTGCACCTTGTTCCGCCGAACTCTCCCACGGTGAGCGGTCCACTGCCGGTGGGAATAAACAGGATTAGATTAGTGGATTTCTGTTCATGAACTTCTGCAGAAACCAGGCCAACCAAGTCTTCTTCTTACAAATCCCAACTTGAGGCTAGTGATGCCAAATCTAAGTAATTGTTTTGAAGCATGGCTGGTTTAGACTTCTAAGCCCCAATGACCCCCTCTTAGTCCTTTATGTTCAATGTGTGCATGACCTGTGCCATGCTTTTCTGTTTTTTCTTATTGATCAAACGGGAGGAGAAAACGTGAAGATGAGCTTTGGATACTTGTAGGTGTTTATTAGTCTGAACACAAACCAATTCGCATACAAGGAAGACAAAGTGAAATAAAATCCCTTTTTAGAGGAACACAAATGAATTTACATCCAAGACCGAACCTGCAGTGGCACAAACCTCAAAGTGTGAGGTCTATACGTTTTATTCTTTTTCTTTTTCTTCCCTGCAGGAGGCCGAACACGTGGCTCACCTTCGTCGGAGCAGTACTTTCCAGATGCTGACAGATGTGAAGCCAGGCATTGCCATGCTCGTGTTCGACAAGGTGGCCGTGGAGTGCGAGTACACCGACCGGCGGCCCGAGGAGGCCTCCTACCTGAACACGTCCGCAGTGGGACCTGGACTGGACAGCGACTTTGGTGCGAGTGCAGGTAAACTTCAGCGTGAGGATCTGAATCATGGAGAGAGTTAGATGTGCGGCTCTTCCACTGATTTGTTTTTTTTTTATTATCCCCTTGATTTCTCCTCAGGTGTGTCCCTGCGGATTCTGTCAGACAGCGACGGTCTGTCTAACGGCGTCCTGGCTTCGGCCCTGGAGTGGGATTATTATGACCCTTGCTATGTCAAGCAGAATAATGTACCCAAACATAAACACCACAGACCCGCAGTGCACACCAAACAGTACTGGGTGTGAAATGTTCCCGCTGTCAAGCGTGATCTTTTAATGTTAAGTTATTTTTATTTAAATAATATGTGCTTTAGTCTTAATTTATTGTCACTAATGAGTTTAAATTTACACATTTTTCTGATTACACACTCTGCCACTGAATTGATTCAACTTGTGAAATATTTACTGCAGCCACCTTCACTTGTGTTATTGTGAAATGCGCACTTCTTCACTCATGTTTGTCTAAATTAGTCACCATTTTATATCAACAGGGCTGTCCACTCAGTTTGGAATTCCATGCACATTATATTACTTTATTTACGCACTTTTATTTATCTAAATGTTTTCATTCTGTAATAAAGACTAATTTAGAATTCAGACTTGTGATCCTTCAAAAAAAAAAAATCCCATGCAAATTACAGAAATGCAAAAATGTGACTTTAAACTGCTCATTGGCGCTGACCTGTATTTTCTTGCACTGAATCCAAACATTTTACCAGAATGATGGTTTATAATTCGGTGCCTGTAACATTCCTCACCAGCAGATGGCGCTCTGCTTTGGAATTAAATTAACTGCTGAGCAGAATCCAGACTGGTGCAAGTGGATAATTAATGATACTCTGCCTTTACTGTTGCTTATGCATTAGTTGTCTTTAAAAAAACCTTTTTAATCTGGTGACCATTACAAGCGGAACTTTCAGGTTTTCTGCCCTCGGTTAGCAAAGAGTAATTTTATAAACATGGAACAAGATTATTGTTGCTCACCATCAGCCACTGACATTTCAAAAGAAGGTCACAGGAAGTGACAAAACACAGGCAGTCAAGTCAACTCCAATACTTGAATACTTTATTCTCTGCAGGATATTTGTACATTAACGATCAAGTGCCACCGTTCAACAGTCATTTATACGCTCTATGAACTTGAGCGAACATGAAAAAAACCACTTTACTCAAAGCTGGAGAGGAAATCCAACACAATTTGCTTGAGTTTTGCATCGGATGCCACAGAGATTTGTCCATCAGCCCTGCAACCAAGTGGAGATTGTATTACTTAAATAAATGTATTTTGTAACCAAACGTCCTGCAGCTCTTTCACTTACTTGATAGCTGCCAGCAGGTCTTTGTGCTGACTCAGCACGTGCTGCAGGAAGGCCTTCTCGAACCGGGTGATTTTGCTCGGCTCCATTTTGTCCAGGTGTCCCCTCACACCCGCGTAAATGACCGTCACCTGCTCCTCAATGGCCATTGGACCTGAACCATAAAGAGCACGCAGTCTCAGAACATAAAGACACATGCATAGTAAAATGGACCCCTTGAGAGTCAAACTTGAACCCAACTGTGAATACTCACAGTACTGTCCCTGTTTAAGGAGCTCAGTTAGGCGAACGCCACGATTCAGCAGCTGCTGAGTGGCAGCGTCCAGATCCGAACCAAACTGAGCGAAGGCGGCCACCTCGCGGTACTGGGCCAGCTCCAGCTTCATGGTACCAGCCACCTGGAGATGGACACAACTCGATGAGTCGGAACCACGTCCTCGGTTGTGATGAAAAGCTGCGAGACGGACGACGAGGACGACCTACCTGCTTCATGGCCTTGGTCTGAGCGGCCGATCCGACGCGCGACACCGACAGGCCGACGTTGATGGCGGGGCGAATACCTTTGTAGAACAGCTCGGTCTCCAAGAAGATCTGAGCGAGAAGAGCGCCATTTAATCCCCAGGTTTAGCCGGGGAGGGGGAAGGGGGGGCAAAATCCAGCACTGACCTGTCCGTCAGTGATGGAGATGACGTTGGTCGGAATGTAGGCCGACACGTCGCCGGCCTGCGTCTCGATGACGGGAAGCGCCGTGAGGGAGCCGCCGCCGAAGTTGTCGTTCATCTTGGCCGCTCTCTCCAGCAGGCGGGAGTGCAGGTAGAAGACGTCCCCCGGGTAGGCCTCGCGGCCGGGGGGCCGGCGGAGCAGCAGCGACATCTGGCGGTAGGCGACGGCCTGCGGGGAAAAGGGAAGCGCGGGAGGTCGATGGCGCTCCGATGGGGCTACGGTGCGTTTTTTGGAGGGGGCCGCCACGGCGCTCTCACCTGCTTGGACAGATCGTCGTAGATGATCAGGGCGTGCTTGCCGTTGTCCCTGAAGTACTCGCCCATGGAGCAGCCGGAGTAGGGCGCCAGGTACTGCAGCGGAGCGGCGTCCGAGGCGGTGGCCGACACCACGATGGTGTACTTCATGGCGTCCGCGTCGGTCAGCCGCTTCACCAGCTGAGCCACCGTGGAGCGCTTCTGGCCGATGGCCACGTAGATGCAGTACAGCTTCTTCTTGTCGTCGGTGCCTTCGTTGAAGCGCTTCTGGTTGATGATCGTGTCGATGGCGATGGCGGTTTTGCTGCAACGCCGAACATTCAGCGTTAACAAAAGCACCCCGGGACCCGAGGAAAAGGCCCAACCAGCCCGAGGAAATGTTACCGTCCTCTTACCCGGTCTGCCGGTCTCCAATGATGAGCTCGCGCTGACCACGGCCGATGGGCACCAGACTGTCCACCGCTTTGATGCCGGTCTGCATGGGCTCCCTCACAGAGATACGGGGGATGATCCCCGGGGCCTTCAGGCCCACGCGCCTGCGGATGCTGGAGCCCAGGGGGCCCTGCGAGGAGAGCGGCGCAGCCGGAAACGGCGTCAAGCAGTGCGATCACCTCCTTCGATTTGGGGCGTCGCGGTTATTGTCGCTGACCTTTCCGTCAATGGCGTTTCCCAGCGCGTCCACGACGCGGCCCAGGAGCTCCTCCCCAACGGGCACGTCCACAATGGCCCCGGTCCTCTTGACGACGTCGCCCTCCTTGATCAGCTTGTCGTTACCGAACACCACCACGCCGACGTTGTCGGACTCCAAGTTCAGAGACATGCCCTGGATGGGAGGAGAAACGTTAAGACCACCGCGGTTTATATGGGCTCAGTGAAGGTCAGCGCGTGAAGGTCACCGGTCAAGTTACCTTCAGCCCGGAGGAGAACTCCACCATCTCCTCCGCCTGCACGTTCCTCAGGCCGTACACTCTGGCAATGCCGTCACCGATAGACAGCACGCGACCCGTCTCCTGCAGGTCGGCGCTGTGGTCCGCTCCGAGGATCTTCTCCTCCAGGATGGACGATACCTCGGCAGTGCCTTTAACGTTCATATTTTATTTTTTTTAAGTAAGCCGATCAACAGATGTCGGTGGAATTAACCAGTACTCGGCCAATATAGTTTGTTTAGGGCAATAATACTGACCTATTTTCACCTGCCAAGGCCGGGTGGTGTGTAGGTTCTTGACTCCTACACATGCTGCAGCGACATTCTTGGATACCTTTTAGAAAGACATTGTGAACTGATAAGTAAAGCATTTTCTATTTCATTACAGACAAATCTAACATATGATATTGACAATGGCCCTAATTGATTTATTCTAAAATAACCTTTTGACGTTTTACGGTTTACCTTCTTAAAAAAAGGCACCGTTCACCTCAAAAAAATAAAATATGTAACATTGCCTCTCATCTGTAGTGCCATTTATTAATCTAAATTATGTCTGTGCTAGTGGATTGAAGATTGTTGAACAACTACATTTTTAGAGAGAAAGATGCTCCTGCTCAAATACAGTTTGCAATATTCACTAACATTTCATTATAAAATACAATTAGCCATAACTATGTCAGCATGGTGAGTTATGAGTTTCTCTTAAATGTGAAACCATTTGAGACAACAGAATAATATTGGAATTAACACCCCACACCCACCGACTTCTATATAAAGTTTATGCAGGAAAATCCGCTTTGCAATAAAAAGGCCGCATAAAACCTGACATGCGTCACTACGCATGCGCGTTAACTTTGTCCTAACTAGTCATCCTTTCTAACGTTTAGTGTCATCCGGGTAACGGGCCGGGTCTCCTCCGGTGCGATGACACACATCACCGAACATGAGTGAACTATCATGAAGGAGGTCGACCCCCGCTAAACCCCCCCAAAATAGATGATCGTTGCTTACAAAGCCGGCCCGTCGGGGCAGACTGCGGGCGAGAGCCGCTGCGACGCGTACTGACAGCATGTCGGTGTCCTGCGGGCTCGATGCTGCTCCCGGTGCACACGGAGAAGGACGGCGAGAAGGACCGTGACCCGGAAGTACTTCAAAATAAAGGCGCTGGATTCTTTCCTTGTATTTTATTTAAGAGTGAGTGTTTTGCTGGCGAAGTTATGATTATGATAACACATTCTTTTAACACATTTTTAAATACCTCATACCTCATTTTTAAAACATCGTTTTAGTTCTGGAAATTTTACAACGAGTAATATAATTTTCAGAAGTGTATTATCTCTCTTAAGATGCAAGAAAATCAAGATCTAGTTAGGCGTCTGTTATATTAGTATCTCGCCTGAGTAAATGTATAGTCAGCAGACCATGTGTCACGTGGGGGAGATGAGGGTGAGACCTTGGGGGCCCAAAGCCCCTATTAGAGAGACAACTGCTTTCTGACAGAGAAAGTTGATCTTAATCCAAATAACAGTTGCTTCTTTCTTTTTAACATAAACCAAAGGAATGTGTTTTTCATTCATTCGTGTTTCATTCATAAGGCGTTTGCAAGGCGTTTTAAAGTTATTCATTAGATGTATAATCTATTTCATTCATTTAGTTTCATTTAATTATGTTCACTTTACTTTTTTTTTTTAAATGGAGGGTGGCTTGACCGCAGTGTCTCCTGCAGCAGTTCCTTTTCTTGTAGTATCGAAACCCCGCCCCCAGGGGCGCTCTACCGCTTAGAGCACCCCGGAAGTGACGCATGCATCTTTGTGAAAGACGGACGGCTGATGAAGACATTTTAAAATATACACATAGCTAACTGCTAACTGGGCTCGCGAAGGTGCGAGCGCACTGCGCCAAAAGACGTTCACATTATTCCAAGTTGTAAAGAAGTGAGGTATATTTAGCAGTGCATTGTCAATGTATCGTAAATAAAAAGAGGAAAAAAATACCAAAGATGTTGAACAATCCGACTCTGGGAAAAGAATAATAGAACTAACGCCGCGGTAAGTTGTAACTAGCGCAGTCGATTTGAGATGCTACGTCGGCTACCGCTTTGACTGAGATAACGTTAGCTCTTAGCAATTTACATTTTTCTGCTTGTTGCGCCCCTGGCTGGCTAGATACGGTTTCCATTTATAGCATCTTGCGAGGCAGCTGCCCTGCAACCTGGACATTTTGCAAATGGCTTGTCTTCTTCTCGCCAAGTGTGCAGGGTGTAAGGTTGTGACCGAGGTTAGCTTCACTACGCAGCTAAAGGTAGCCAGTAATAGCTCCAGTTAGCTACACTACCAACTCACGTTAAAGTCACTAATTCAATAGTCAGTAAATATCTCGTAGTGCACACGTTTTGTTTTACATTGCTTGTGGGGTTGAACGAACATGTATGAAAACAAAAGGTTTCGCATGCTGTTTGAGACGTGAAAGTTGAAAACTGAATCAATGTTTTGTAAAATATTAATTCCTGTGACCGTGTGATCATTTTCCCGTATGTCCACATACTTTTTATTTTGAATATGCTCTATGCTTTCAGACATCCATCGTCTCACACAGTATTTAGTATTCATTGATGCTTGTTTTTCCGTCCAGCAGGTGAGCTCCTGTCCAGGCACATTGGTCCATGTTTGTTGGACCTTTGGGCTCTGGGCTCATTTAGCATGAAGATGGCTGACTCGGACAAAGCCGAGGAATTTGTGGATGCAGAGTGCCTTGATGAGGCACTATCAGCGACAGGCTCTGTTCAGGGAGAGCAGGATGAGCATCTAAAATCAGAGCCCACCACCAGTACCAGCTCGCCGCTGAGAGATAAGGAGGCAGACAGCCCCTTGAATACGGAGGGTGAGCAGAGTCTCCTCTCCATGCCATGCCTGATGAAGGAGCTCCGCCGAGACTCCCCAGAGTCCCAGCATGCCTCTACAGGGAGCGACAAGCCGGTGTCTGGTCATATCTATGAGAGTGACTCCTCAAACAACTGCATGCTCTCACCGTCATCCAGTGGCCACCTGGCTGACTCCGACACACTCTCCTCGGGGGAAGACGGGGCTGCTCCTTCCACCCGAAAAGAGGAAGAGGGCGGCATGGAAGCTGCGAATGATTGTGGGCAGACAGCAGGAAGGCAATCGTCATCTACAGGTGGGAGGAAGTCCCGGCGGTCCCGCTCAGAGAGCGAGACGGTGCCTAATGCGATGGCTGCGAAGAAAAATCGCTGCCAGCCCGCCTTGGTAGCAGCTGGAGGGCAAGAAAAACAAACCAACGGCAAGCTGGCAAAGGTGAAAGGTCACCGCAGCCAGAAACACAAGGAGAGGATGCGTTTGCTGCGGCAAAAACGTGAGGCAGCAGCGCGGAAGAAGTATAACCTGCTGCAGGACAGCAGTACGAGCGACAGCGAGCTGACGTGCGACTCCAGCACCAGCTCCTCTGAGGACGAGGATGACGACACTTCAGGGGGTAGCAAGACAATCAAGACGGATATTTCAGGTAACATCCGATGTTCACATCACATGCTTATAGCAAAGTACTCTTACCAAGTAGTGCATTGTAGTACAGGATAACAGTAGCAGATATCTACTATAAGACATTGTATCACGCATTGACATAATAACATAGCTTAGTTTAGATTCTGTAGGTCTATCAGATTCTAACGGCGTGACAATAAGAGGCTGCCTGCATAATGTAAACATTTCAGGTTAGCCGAACCAAAGTGTTCACCTGCCACATATATATATCCTAGTAACTAGTAAGAACGTGTAATGAAAAGGCTGAAGAAAGAAGTTTCAATAACAGATCTGTGCAAGCTCTGCTTTGTGTTTGGTTTTTATCAAATCCCTTTCTTTTTTTTGCTGTTTATTTTCTCACCCATCTCTTCATTCACCCTGGTTTGGGGAGTTAGACTGTTTAGGAGGGCTGATGCCCAGTCACATCTATTTTTCTTTTTAGCACTTTGTCTCATCGTTTGCATGCTGTGGAAGTAGAGTGGACATTCTTCACCTCATGGAATGATTGTTAATCTAATCTATACGGGAAGCTTTGCAACTCGACAATGGGCCATTTATGTCCCCAGCTGTATGTAACGGTGCTCATTCACACTGTTCGAGTTGCAAGACCTGCTGTTAAGAGTTGGTGTGATGGTAGATGTATAGTCTTAAACCTGCAAGTTTTAGACTCAATTATTTTTGATGGGCCATTTTATCAGAATGTTACATTTAAACGATTTATATTTAGTGAGACTACCAGGTATTGCAGCTTATAATATATTACTCGGCTCTAATTGTACTCGTCGGGGTCTTGTAAACAGGTGGTTTTCCTCTCAATAATGAGTCTTGCAGCACCTTTTTTGACCTCGCATAGCTCCTGTGTCATTGTCAAGGAAATATAAATGCCTTTAAAGCTGACTGACGGCCCCTGATTGTAGAAATGTCTGTGGTGAGTTCTGTAAGTAACTGCTCGCTGGGTGCTGTTCACAGGCCTGCTGCTGCTGAAGTCTCTGCATTTACTTTAAGCTGATCTTTTCATTGTGAGTGGATTTTTTTTCTAGAACATAACATTTGGGTTTGGTTGTTGTAGAAATGTTGTTAAAATCTGAAATCAGCTGGTGGTGTTGATCTAGTGTTAGGTCTCTGAGGATCACCACATAGTCCCCTTTTTGGCTGATAATAACTGATACTGCATTATATTTTACAAAGGTGATTGAATTTCATATCATAGTTGTTTAATGAATTTGCTTCAAATGGGTGTTTTTCAACGGTCAGCGGCCCAAGGAGACTTTAGGGATCCGTACCACATGAAATGTTTTCAACCATTTTTACATCCCGCACACAGATTTGAGTGCTTCAACTGCATGATGTAGTCCATCAGCATGACGAGTCGATCTGCACGTAACCAAAAACAAACTGTCATTTTCTCTTTAATACAAAAGTCCACCTCGGAAGCATGAACGTGCCACTGTATTTTCTTATGGCTTGGCCTCAATGTCTTTAAAGCTGGCTTCAGACGTGCATCGGAGAGATCCAGAGTGGGCGCCCAGATTCATGGGCTGCTGGACACCAGTTCGTGGGACAGGAACGGCATCGGCAGCGTTCTGGAGGAGGCCATGACGCGATTTGCTGTGATGCAGCGTCAGACCGAGGAGCGCTTCCGCGTCTGGATGGAAAAGCTCGCGCACCTCGACTCGGACAACGACTCGTCCAAACGCTCAAGTGACGCCCCGGAGGGGCCGCAGCGCCCCTCCCAGGGGAGACGCCCGTCCAGTTCCTTCTTGCCGTCGTCAGAGTCTTCGGAGACTATGGCTGCCTACATGTTGGCGCGGGAGAACAACAGCCTCCCCTCCACCCCCATAAACAACAACAACAACAACATCACCGCCCTACCCGAAGCGGCCACTCAGAATGGAAATCTAGGCGCTCCGGACCCTGGGCTCCTGAATGTTTAGGTTTCACTAGCAAAGAGCAAGAGTAGAACTAGTCGACGCAGAGTAGCACGGCAGTGGGTATTAATAGGTTAGCGATGTGAGGTCACTGAATGGATACGCCATCAACAGCAGCTGGGCCTGCGCCGGTCATGGGAACGGGACTCTGTGGCGACCGGAGGCCCGGCGTGTCCACCGACACTGAAGCACTGTGAGATTTGACATTCAGAATAATTCAACTCGAGCGTCTTTCATTCCTGCAGCATGTGTGCCACAGCCACGAGGGGGGGGCACACCTCAGTAGACGGTCCAATCGGGGCTCTTATCCTATCGTTCATCCCACGGCTCATTTGTGTGAGTTTGTGTACCAGCTGTACACAAACGCACACACACATAAACACACACACACAGAAGCTGATCATGCCTTTAGTTGAGACTGTGCATTACAGCACCTGTGGGGAGAGGGGGCTGCTGCTTAATAGCATGTGCCTTGTCCTCCTGACTCCCTGCTGGGAGTGAGATGTGTGGCATCGTAGTTCTATCTCTAGTAGTTCAGTTAATCTCTCTACGTCACTCTGTTCTCCCAAACTGTGTTTGCACTTTGCTTAGAAACGGTCGAGGGTCTCTGGACAGCCTGTTTGTTTTGGTGTTATAGCTTTACTAACATGAAAACATTTACATAATAACAGATTTGCCTGGAAATATAACGAGATACTAATCCACACACTTGTTGCTTTTTAATACTCTTTGACATTAGTGTTTACATTGTGTGCGTTTCTGTTACATTTGCTGCTATTGCTGCCTTTGTGCAGTAACGAGAAACTAGTGAAGGAGGAATGACTATTTTTAGTAGTATAGGTTGTGGACATCAGATACGGGCTCCCGTGTTGTGGCCGTTAGCTGCAGTGTCGAGAGCTTCACATCTTCACTTGTAATATCCGCCTTGTCTAAATGCACTGGTCTGCCAGCTTGGCCGTGCGTGTCCGCAGCTCCACTTCAAACTGACAACGCAGGCGTCCGACTAACCGATAGCAGTAATACAGCTGCTTTCAGTGCATGGCAATGTTTACTGATTTCCTATAGAATAAAGGACTGATCTGAGCAATCAAGTGGCCTTTGGTTCAGACGCTGTGGTGGTTGAGGTGGAAACATTCACGTAACCTCAAAACTACATTTACTTTTACTGACCACCGCGTCAGCTCTTGACGCGGTCACTGACATGAATTAAAGAATCTTTGGCCCAATTATATTTGTAGTTAGGGTGTTTAAAATGTTACATTTTCTGTATGTGTATGTGTAGCCCTATGTGAGTTTTACAAAACGCTGGCTGCATCGTTTCCCCACCTTTTTGCATGTTATATTAGTGAATAGAATGGTTTTCATCAGCAGCATGTGTGCAAGGTTTAGCCTCGCTTGTGCTGATAAATGGTGACTGACTGAACATTTTTATCTATTTGGTTGTTTTCTCTTGGCATAATTGTTTTGTTTGAAATTGTGTGAATCGAGGTGTTTTCGGTCGGTGGTGCATTATGGCTTACATTTGGGTTTAAATGCATCCGGCCGCTGCTGTTCTGCATTTTGTTAAGATTGAAAGAACCCTTTAAATCAGCCGCTCTGTCGACGCCGTAAAGGGAACCTCCTACAATCACAAACTGTGCATTAAAAACCACACAAAGGACGGTCCACCGTTTACCAAAGAGACTATCCTGGTTTACATCGGCCCCTTTTCTACCTTTTTAAATACATGGCCTTTAGATCGGCACGCCCTTGGTTTCTATGGCAACTCCGGTACCTGCCTACTCCAGCCCAATCAGCTATTCATAGGCGGTGGTCTCTCACAGTACACGCTGTCCAGACAAACCCCCACACACACACACACACACACACAAACGCGTCTGGGTGAAGCAGTGTGTCTGTGTGCGTCTCTCACAGGGTAGACAACAAAGATAAACGTTTACGCTCTTCCACAGATTTCTTCTTCTGTTTGGCTCTTATTATGCCACCACCACATTTCATTAAGGGAAGACCGTTTTTAAGTGTTTTGTAATGACTGTATTCCTGTGTAGTTTTTATGTGAATTGGCTGTTTTTAAAAGCAATAAATGCAGAGAAAAATAAATGCAGAGGCGTTACTCCTTTACTCTTAGAATATAAACACCTCACTAGCAAAAAAAAAACAAACCTGTTTATATTTCACAGCCCAAAAGGACTAAATGTTTAATTTGTTTAAAAACCTTTTGGACTCTGGACGCAGTGTCCAGTTTGTATCCGGAGCATGATTTGAATAATGAAGTGTTTTCTTTGTTTTCTGCAGACGCGCTTCCAGTAGTGGGTCACTTTGATATTTCAGACACTGATTCTAACCAGGAGAGTATGAGTGTGGAGACAGTCCGGCCCACGGTGATAAAGCATGAGCTAAACACACACAGAGGCCGGGAGGTGGCAGCTCACTCTGGGTGTATAAGAGCTCTGTGCTCCCTCTCAGGTCAGTCACCAAGCCGCTGAATCCAAACCCATCACTTCCTCTCGGTGGCGGCGGGACATTTAGAGGCATGGGTGTCTTCGCTGAGCAGACTTGGTCTTTTCAATCTCAGCTCCTGGGATCAGCGCTGCCTTCATCCCACACGCCTTGCATTGGCTAGTACTTGGGGGAGGGGAAAAACCAAAAATGAAACTCTTGCTTCTCCAGAAGAATTGATGTGTTGTAACCGTCTCGCCGGCTATTTCTGCTCTATCCCACTGTGCCGCTCCGCGCTTTCCAGTCGGCCTTTTCAAACCACCAAAACCCCCCCGACAAGTGTCGGATTCATGGTTTTGTTCTCGTCTGTGTCAAAGCAGCTGCAGTCTTTCTGCGTCAGCAGGGCCTGAAGCTCTCTCTGCCACCATGGCGCTCTTCACAATGTCTGACTCTGTGTGTCCCCCCCCCCCGCGTTTGTTTCAGGCCACGCGGAGCCGGTGCTGTCGCACAAGGGGAGTTCTCAACACAACAAGGGCCAGATTAACATCGCCTCCTCCGACAGCGAGGTGGAAATCGTCGGCGTGCAAGAGAAAGCCCGGTAAACACCTTCAGCGGAGGGACTCGTTTAAACTTTTCCTTTTCACCCCCTCCCCCCCAAACTTATCATGGTTTTGTTTCTAAATCCAGATGCGCCCACCCGTGCGGAGGAGTAATAAAGAGCCTGTCCACCTGGAAAGGGAACTCGGTGGAGCAGTTAAACAGCACAAATCAACCACAGCTCTGGACTACGGTTTCCCCTCAGCCCAACTGGGTGTCCCCACCCGAGGTGGTGGACCTCACCCTGGACGAGGACGCCGGACACAAATACCTACTTTGAACGACTCGTGCACTGAAGACTCCTCGTGTCTCCCTCCCCCACTCTCGCCTTGCCTCCGTGTCCTCCGGCTGAAATCCCTCCTGTAGTTGTAACCGCTCGTGGACTCTCCAGAGATGCGTTTTCTTTTTTTGTTCTTTTTTTTTTTTTCTCCCCTTTTCACTCCAAAACAATCACGTGTATCAAAGCCATGCTGTCCACGCGATTCCCACCATCTGAATTTATTCGCAGGGAAATCCGGCCCTCTGAGTGCAGGTGGGAAATGTGCACCAAGGCTGATGTATCTGTTAAATGATAGCAATATCCTAGCTGCATTCGATGCCTCGGGCGCTCCTCGCTGACTCCCTTTAGGGCTTTTTGTGTTGTCAGCTGTAAAGTGGCGCCGTGGACTCTGGTGTGCGGCATATTTTGCGGCAGCCGGCACCTTTTCTGTTGCACAGCGAAGCACAAAGTCAGCTTCATTTGTTTTGAAAAGTCTCACCACTGGTTTTGCATCTACTCCCGTCTGCATTGACGCCTCTGGTCCGCTGTGCTCCGTCCAGCACAGGTGCAGCTGGTGCTTTTGGTTTATCTCAAAAAGGGAAAGTTTCACATTTTGGGAATTAAGCTTAATCGCTTTATTTGCTGCGATTCAAACAAAACGGATTTTGTTTCTGCTTCCACCATATTATAATGTTTTTTTAATGTAAACACGGAAACCTAACTCCAGTTTAGGAAGGAAAAACAAGACACAACCAAATTAGACTCTTCACGTGACACAATGCTGCATCTCTAATACGGATTAAAGAGGTGGTTGTAGGTTGGAAGCCTCGTCCCGGGTGGCGTAGTTATCAGTGAATGTATGACCCTGCAGTGCGCGCTGCGTGCTAGTCTTTGTGAGTGGACACCTTTAAACCTGTGGGGACCACTTCATAACAAGTGAAGAAATGCATCTTCCATCGAATACTGCAAGGCGAGACGACCCCAATGCCTTGAAAAGTGCACTATTTCCTTTTAGAACTCGTACAAAGCTTATTCTTTTACCTTACAGAGCAGTGGATTTTGCTATCGACAATAAATATTTTAATAATAGATGTGAATTTAGCACACAAATAAAGGTGTAAGTGGTGTTGAGTGTGTACCCACGTGTTTGGGTGGTTATAGTAGAAACGGTTTTTACCTTGCTCTTCAGGGCCGCTTGCTCTCTTTCCTTGTGGTCTTATTCGCGTCTTCATGCAGTTGTCACTGCAGCCCCACTAGTACATTTGTATCCAGGACCCAACCTCAAAACACTGTTATAACACTTATTTTTGTGTCATTTCATATTGAATATCTGCTTTCTACTGTGATGTTTTACAATTGTAGAATCAAAAATGTTTTTACTTCTGCTGGTCACAGAAGAAAAGGAAACCTCTTAAATATAAAAAAAAAGAAACTCAACCAAAGCTTAAATGTATTTGTTTGTCCCAGTTTTTTTTTTTTTCTTCAGGATATGAAATTCTCACATTCTTTTATTTGCTCTGCTTGTCTAAATGTTTTATTTGGAAGTCAATGCATTTGTTGTGAAATGAGGTGACTTTAAATTCAAGATAGTTTGGTATGATGTGATATTTCCTGTTTTCCTTTGGCCAGTTCTTTCCACTATATGCAGCCACCAGTGTAATGACAATTATTTTACTAGATCACTTCTGCTCACAAAACCTATTTCGCTACAGCTCCTTAGGATTATTATTAAATGTTGTTAAGACCCATGTCTCTAGTGATAGAGGTTTGATAGAAAGTTAGAGCAGTGGTGCTTCATTACGGTTGCACATCGCATGTGTGGTCACATCTTTAACCTCAAGTCAAATATTATCCTCATTACCAGTAATTTAGCTTTGCTCTTCTATTATTGTTTTACTTTACTGACAGTATTTTAAATTAAAAAAGGGGGGGGGAGGGTATTTTGTTGCTTCTGCAACGTCCTTGAAATGTGTGTAGAACAAAAAGAAACTATTTTAAATCTAAATAAATAGAGCATTATTTAATGAACCTCTTGTACAGCAGTTGATTTCCTTGCCTCTAGAAAACATGGATTTTTACATGCAGGATATGAATGAATGAACGAGTAGATCCCCTCTCAAAAGTTTTGCACAAGTGTGAGAATCACCGCCACTGTAGGTGCGAAATGTAAGGACGTGTCTCATTGTTTCCTTTCATCCTGTTGCCAAACAGTCTAGACAACGGCCTCCCCGCGAACAATACGACTTCACCCTCTGCCACATAAGTAGCACCCCGGGTCAGAGGTCGTTCTGTGACACCTGCCGCTAGGGGGACATATGGAGTTCACGCTGAAAAGGACAATGAGGGAGTGGAGCAATGCAGCCTTCGGGGCCCTGCTCCTGAAACCAAAGCCCTCCAGCCGGCTCCTTTCACCCCCCTCGGGGCAGAACATCAGCTGTATGCTAATGTTTCACCAGAGCAGCAAGTGCGCTGGCTCACTCTCAAAAGCAACAAATGAGAATCCTTCCTCCTGCAGATGTCGTTTTAGTGATGCAGCTGTAGCTCCTGTGTTGTACAAGTGCTTTTCCAGGTTGTATTCAAAATGACGGCTCCCTTGTTAACGCCAGCCGCACACCAACGCACTAAGTGCATGCGACTACTTTTAATTACTGGTTAGAAAAAACTGCTTTACTTTGCTAAAAAAACTATATTCTAAATAACAAAAAGTAAAAGCGCAAAATGTAAAATACTTTGACTTTTCCGGACAGACATTTCTTAAGAAAGCGATCACATTGTACATGCTACTTATTTATAATAAATAAAAAAAGGTTTTGTATTAAGTGATTGAGAGTTTGACAGTGTTTAAAAAAAAAGTCCTGCTGTGGCTGAGTAAAGGAAACCGATTGCTTTTTGACCTGCACCGACAGTAATGCATTGTTAAAGGCTCTTTGTGTGGCACCGCAGGCTTTAAAATGAGATGGTGGGAACTGGAAGACGGGGACATATGGGACTAAGAGTTTTGTGACCCCCTCAGCCTACCCATCTGTTCCTCCCCCCTTCAGGCTTAACACCAAAGGCAGAGATTGCAGAGATTTTCCGGACAGCGACAGTTCTGAGCACATTAGCCGTAAAGGAAATGGGACAACTTAAGAGAGAGGTGGCTTTTCAAAGAAATTATAGGACTTTAATATGACTTTCTGTAGCAGATCACTGCTGCGTTTGTTTGTTGGTGGTTACGTCTTCTGGCTGGCATCCAACACACCGTCTCCCAAAGGGAACAATAATACGATTAAAAGATAATCAAATTTCATCTGAGTCTTCTTGTCCTTAAAGATTCCGATTGCCAACGGGTTATGTAGTCTTTGGTCATGTGATCCGACTGATGTCATGTGTCGTGTGTTTATACGCGGAAGGGGATTTAAACTGATCAGGACATTTTCTTTGCAGTCACATTGAAGTCGAATAGATGGATTTGGACTTGTTATATTGCTTTGGTGTGTGTGTGTGTGTGTGTGTGTGTGTGTGTGTGTGTGTGTGTGTGGATGCGAGGCCTTCAATCATTTATAATGCATTGGATTATATAATTTGAATACTTTTGCATACAATATCAAGTTAATTGGTAGTATGGCTGGTAAATACATGTAGTGGAGTGCCAACATAAGAAACACAAAGTTTCATTTAAGAACATTACTTGAGCGATGTACTTGATTAGTTTTTACCATCGACCATGCGTATTCAATTTTAGTTGCCGTTTATGGTTTTGGGACCGAGTGAATCATCTGACCCAACCAGAACTCCTCAGTCACATCAGTGCCTACAATAAGCCACAACAATTTAAAAACACCAACGTGTACAGCCTTTAATCTTAAATCGTCATGGTTTTGTCAAAAATTAAGGTAAATGTAGCGGACTGAAAGTCCAACATGTCCCTGAAAACGGATGATTGAAATCAAGTGGATATTGTTACATATCCAGATTCTGAGAAGTGTTTATACTTTAATTCCTTCAAAAAAGAAAAACATTTCGGTGACATTCCTGCCAAATTATAAATAATGGTTTTTGAGGCCCCCTGGGATGAAATCCAACCAGATGTCCATTTGAGGGGTCGGATACAAGAAACCAGCACTACCACGCACATTTACAGTACCTAAATGAGGCTTGGGGGGAAAGGGGGGTGCTGTGGAAAACACAGACGTGCCCGCCCCTAGCGCTCATCCCATTGGTGGAGCGATGTGTCAAAGCAGCAGAGTCCTGCTCAGAGCGCTGCGCTGATTGGTCGCCCGGGACCGTGTCTGCACGCTACGTAGCCTGTCAGTTTGAATGTGCTCGCGACTGGAGGGGATCATTTCCATGGACCATCTGTCTCGCTGGCTGCCCACACAACAAAGAAGGACCCAGGATGGTGTTAGTACATGTTGGATATCTGGTTCTTCCCGTCTTTGGATCAGTTAGAAATAGAGGTATGACCATCTCCATATATTTCCCCTATCCTAACAAATGTCTCGGCTTTTCCTTCTTTTAAATGTCATCAAATGATGTAAACAGAGCTGACACCTGCTAGCAACAAACGCGAGCGACAACAGGCGAAGCGCGAGCGCAAAACAACGCTAGCTCGACCGTTATAGCGTCGTTAGTGCGACTTAACGACGTTTCATCTTATACAAGAGCAAATGGACGCTTGTTTTTTTTCCTTAAGGATATTAAGGGGTCCGTTAAACGCCCCAAATGACAGCCGCTGTCAAACGGCAGCCCCTCTTTTCTCTCAAGCTCAGCTGCGTGGTGTTTACGTGCGGGTTTTTTTTTTTTTTTGTGTAGTCACCGCTAAGCTAACGTTACCGAGCATCGCCGGTAGCTCCGCTCAGCCGCGTCCAGTAGCGTCAGCCCGGCTTTAGCCCGCAACACCCGCCGCTCTCTGCCGCGGATGTGTGTCGTTAATTCGTGTCCCCGGCAAGCGAGCGTCTGAATCCGAAGGGGACGACGTGACGAGGGGACGTGTGTCCCTTTGTGTGCGCAACTCAACTGACATGGAGTGTGTTAATCTCCTGCGCTCATCTTTTTATTTTTTTACCCCGGCTTATCGTCTCAATGATGTGCTCTTCCACTAGAAGACAGGTAGCGGGATGGCCGTAGTGCCGATTAGTGACTGTGGTCGGCTATTTTAAAATGGTGGCATTTTAGCCATCAAAACATAACATCAAAACGCGTGTGTGCGTGTTTGCGATGGAAAGCCTCAAATTAAAACCTGCAAAATGCGTCGCAGGTGCAAAACGATCTCAAATCAAAAATAAATAAAAATAGAAAAAAATATACCGGACATTTTAAATGATCACTCTGGCAGAATCGTGGCATAATAGCAATAATCATCCTCCATTAGCAGTGGGCTACCTGTGTTTTGATCATGTAATAATAACAATAAATAATAATTTGACGTGCATTGTTAAAAAAAAAAAAAAAAAACATACATGCAATAGCACCAATGATTTCATTGTGCTTTTATTTCTGTTCTTTTTTCCTGTTCCATAGTATCGAGGCTGGCTCTACATTCCGCATTTCTCAGACCTTTGTCCCCCTCCATTGTGTAGCTAACGATCATCTGCTGCTGTCTGCCGTAGCCTCTGCCTGTTCTCTGCATCTAGCTGTATTGTGAACCCCCTTCTTCCTCATTTCCTCTTTCCATCTGAAGACGACATTGGCATTAAAAACCGAGTTCCCACTCATACCGTATCCTTCTGTGTAACCGACTAAGGAATAACACCTTCTGTAGAAAACAGTTTGTCTTTTTTTTGTCTTTTTTTTTTTTTTTTTTCAAACTGTCATGTTGCTCTTCAGTGAATAACCCATTGTAGCGTTAGACTTTACTACAAACTGTCATTGTGATTCTCCCATCCAGTGTGAATAGACTACATTCTGCTGTAAATTCCTGTAAAGTGGATACATTTTGACCCCCCCCCCCCTCGATTCGATTACAGCCAGGCTTGATCGAACTCTTTCAATTTGATCTTATCCCCTATTTGCACAAGGTGCATTGTGCCAGCTTTTTGTTATCAAAAGCACTTGTATGATCACTTCCTTCCCTAAATATGTATGACTGCTAATCCCGCTACCCTACCATTCACCAATTGGCCAGTACGCGTAGTTTGAGTGATGCTGATTTCACCTTTTTGATGGTCCGCTGCACCTGGTGTAGCGGCGTCCAAGCGGGCGGCCATAATCCCATCCGTGTGTGGAAAGCTTTTGTTCCCGCTAGCTGAATTGATTTAGTCAGCTGCAATCAATTGACTAGACTCCAGTCTAACTCATCGTGCCATTTGAAAATCCCCCACTATCAATCACAGCTCCCCCCCCCCGACCCTCAGACACCTCCAGAATGCTATCCATTTTACAGGGATGTGTATATCCTGCACTGCTGTAGAACTCCTTTTTAAAAAATGAAAATGTCTTTTATTCTTTGGTTGTGGTTTTCTACCTTATGTTCTTGTATTAGATCCTAATGCATGGTCATTTTATACTTTTGTTTTTCCACATTGAACAGCAGATTCCAATGAAAACAAACTTTGTGTAGAGATGTCCCTGCTATACTGAAATGTGCTGTAAGCATACACATCTACTCATTGGATGCTGCTTCTGTTCTGTTAACCCTACAGAGAGCATGGTCGGGCCTTGCCTTCGGTCTTTATTTGCATGGTATTATTATGGTTCTATATAGGATCTATTACTCTTATTACTATTACACAGTGCCACACATACTAATATTTTCCAATAAAGACTGTAGTATTCTTTCTAACCTTCAGTGTGCTTTTTGCTGATTTCCATGTTCCTTCCCTCCTCCCTCCACACTGTGCTGTCACTGAGACTGTCCCCTCACTCTCTATCTGCTCTCATTTCTCAGCTGTCCTTGACAGACTTTCCAGTCGCTCCTCTGCTTACTTTAGAGGAGGAGCAGACTCCTTTATTATTTAAAAAAAAAAAGAAGAAAAAAAAGCATGTTTTGACAAACACATCAGCATTGATATGTAATGTTACACGCTGTCATTCTGCTAAACCATACACTATTTGTGTTACTATTGTTTTTACAACAAAACACAGCCTACTTCATGTCCACTCACCAGTGAGCTAACGTTGGAACAACTCTTGAGCAAATGGATACAATCCTCTTTCTAGGTATATCATTTTGTTTTTAAAACGTCAATGTATTTGGTCAGTCAATTTTGTGATAAAAACACTAAAGTGCTTTTCTTTTTGGCTACTCGTGTTAACATTTATCTTAAAAATCCAATATTCTTCTCCAGCACTCTAAAAAAAATATTGAACGTGTGCACACAATACTACAAAAACAATACAGCAAATAAATCCTCGAGGTATTTTATCCCGCCCAACTTTAGCTTGAGCAATTGACTGCATTGGTTTTCCAAAACAAATGACTCTCATGTCTCTCTGTCTCAAACATTAAAAACTGGTTACATTCTCCTAAAACCTGCACAAGTCGGTCCTGTGTGTCATTAAAAGAAAGAGGTCATCGCTCTTTTAGACTCTCTAAGACAATGTCCTTAAACAAGAAGCTCGACCAGCGGCTTGTTCGCTTAGCTTAGCTTAGCATAGGGACGGGGAAACGGCTCGACTCGTACGTCTAAAGGTAAAATAGATCCTTTAGCGCCTCCCAAAGCGCTCAAATTAACACTTATCACGTTTGTGTCAATCATGCAAAAAAATATATATGAGCGTACAGTACTATTAGATCCTCCAAGTGTTATTAATGTCTAAATTAGGCCGACATGATTTCTATTCAAAAACCTGTTGTCTGAAAACTTAAATGGGTGGATTGTTGGTCAACAACATGCATATATTCAGTCATTTTAGTTTGAACGCCAGGGGACTGCATCTGTTCCACGTGTCGGGAATAGTCGCGAGTTACTTGCATGCTGACACGAGGAGAGTCTGAGACGAGTTTACCCCGCGGCTACAGCACCAGACTAAAATAACTGTAATGTTAATTAATTACACATGTAACGTTATTGTTATTTCATTGACCCAGACCGCATTCGTATCGGAATGCTTTGTCTGCCGCCGCTCGCTCTCCTCGTCCTTGTCTGACTGATGTTTAGCACCAAGGTCAGTGAGCCGGCGCGTGTCATGTAGCCAATGGCGTGCAGCCTTCCAGGCCAGCTGTGCAACACGCAAGCTGATTTCACTCCTGGGTCTCTAACCCTGATTGGGAGCGGTGCCAATCAGTGTTATCAGCTGTTTTTTTGGGGCGGGAGTTAAGAGGGATGAAAACTGCATACACAAGGCTCCCAGAAGACCACAGCACCAGGCAGAAGACAGGATCATGTTAGAGGGGAGGTGCGATTGTAAAGCTGCAGTGATGGGGGGGGGGGGGGGTTTGATGTCAGACTGCTGCAGTCGCGGCTGGGCAGGGCTTACGGGCCGTCGCTCAACGCAGGGACACCATGCCGCAGCTAAACCGTGGGGGAGGGGCTGCCTGTGCAGCAGCTCATGGGTGAGGAGTGGTGGATGGGAGTGTACGTGTGTGTGTGTGCGCGTGTGGGTGGGGGTCTGCTCTGCACCAATATGGCACCATGTATCTGAAAGTCAAAGTCGCAAGCGGGGTTTTAACAACAACAACAACAACATCATCGGGGCCGTAGCTGGCGGCGCTGCTGTATGTCAAATATTAATGTCAGCAGTTCATGTTGGGAAAGAGCCCCGAGACAAAATCATGTGATATTTGCTTGAAGCTTCGCTTCGAGTCCAGTCTCACCGGGTCACAGGCTTCACACAAAAGTGACGTTCAGCCTTTCGCCAATCAAAACTCAGCATTCTGCCATTTCTGCTCTAGTTCCCCGGCCAAATATTGTGTGGGGTTTTGCTCGAGGCTCTCGGGGGTTTACGGGCTTCCCGTGTCCTCACGGCAAAACAACAGCCAGGCAAATATGTCCCAGTGGCAAGAATAAAGGAATTGTTTGACATTTTGGGACATGTACGAATGTACTTTCTGGTAGAGATGATGCCACTCTCATCGTTAATATAAAGCCAAACCCAGCAGGTGGTGAGCAGCTTAGTTCACAGCACAAAGACCGAGAGGATACGGCTCATCCGGCTCTGCAAAAGTAGTCAAGGCTCTCTCATTAACACAACACATTGTGTTTTCAATGTGTTCGATGAGTGAGGGGACTAATTCTCTGCTGGGACCAGTAATGTCCTGTTGTCTCTGCCCCTCAAAGCCAAGAACTCCACGTAAAGCTACAACAAAAGCTTCCAGTTGGACGTTCATCCAGCCAGTTAACTCAAAGCACGACAGAACAACCTATGCTGGATTTTGTGTTTGCATCAAAATGTTACGGACGTGATAATTAATAAGTCAGATGTCGTCTCCGTGAACCATCGACTGTGAAGGAGAGTCTGCAGCAATTGCTCAATACATCCTTATTAACTAACAGCCAAAGCCGGTCTTCATCAAAGACTCTCCGCTATTACCGTTAATCACGTCGGGCGTTTTAATCTGCACGACGCCGAACAGCTGACACGACAGTAGGTGAGACAATGATTCGCTTCTAACAAGCAAACGCACAATGCTGCGGCACTTCAGTACACACAGGCCGCCCTCCAGGCCCTGCCGGCGGCTTCCTGTTCCAGAAAAGGCCGAGCGGGGTAATGGGGGCAGCTGAAGCAGTAGCTGTTAGGGGCGCCCCCCCGTCCCTCCTCCTTTATCGGAGCTGGAGTAATTAGTATTGATTGTTTTTGTGGGAGTTGATACCGAGGTGATTCAGTGGGCCTGTTGTACAATCTCAAGTCTCCTCCGCCTCAGATAGGTAGGAGGGGGAGGGAAGGGGCGAGGGGCGAGGGGGGGGGGGGGTCCTTTGAGCCTACGCCAGTCGCTGTGGAGGGTTTTTAATGAGAAATCCGTTGAAGGAAAACGCGCCGGGCCGGTTAGCAAAGATCCAATCCTCCCAGCCGGCCTCACTGTGGCGACTTGAGAGGGAGGCAATCTGTGTGTGGGGGGTTTACACGGTGCTCAAAGTGGAATGAGGGGGGGGGTCCTGACGTCTGCGTCCTCCATCTGCTGTTTGGTCTGTCTCGTCTCACCCTGTGTGAGGTCTCTCCTGTTTCCATGTTGTGTGGGGGGGGGGGGGGGCTAGAGAGGGGCTTCCGGGCTTCTCCGGGTTAATTACTGAGCACTTTCATATATTCACCCTCGTAGGAGCACACTTCACCAGGCAGCAACACAGCCATGCTACCTCCTGCCGACACTTTCACCTGGGCGCCCCCCAGGCCCCCATCTCAGCCGAGTTCCCTCTGGGACACGCCAGCCAGCCGCCTCAGACCGGCCTCGCCCCCCACCTGCCCCCGGCGCACCACCCGCCCCTAACTGCCCTGCCCGCGGCCCCTCAGTTCCAGGACGTGCCGGGGCCTCCATTCCTACCTCAGGCCTTACACCAGCAATACCTCATCCAGCAGCAGCTTCTGGAAGCGCAGCATCGCAGGATCCTCCCGCACTCCAGGTAGAATCCCCGCCCCCCACCTCCACCAACCCTCCTGCGTGTGGAGGGAAAATAAATTTGTATCTTTATTACATTGCAGAAGAACCCAGGAGCGCCTCCCCCTGAACCCTCACCGACTGCGCTCAGGCTACGAGTTCCCCCCTCCCCTCCACGTCCCCCAGCAAATGACCCAGCAGCAGCAGCGGTACCTGGCCGAAGGCACCGACTGGTAAGTCGCCCCCCCCCCCCCCCCCCCCCCCCCGTCCCCGTCCCCATCGGAGAGCAACGAGAGTCCAGCATCCATCACTGCACTATGCCTGTTGAGGAGGATGATGATGATGATTCAGTCGGCTGTCTGTCTGCCTGCAGGGATCTCAGCGTAGATGCCGGCCTCCCCCACCACCAGTACCAGCTCCAGCAGCTTCCACAGCACTATCAGCATTACCTGGCCTCCCCCCGCATGCACCACTTCCCCAGGAACACGTCCTCTGCACAAGTGGTACGTTTGATCAAACCGTTTCAACCGATCAAATTATATCCACCTCTGCCGACCGCTTCCTGCTTTTTGAACAGAATGTGTCTTTTCTTCCCACCAGTGCATTAAAACAATGAAGAAAAAAAAAGGGTTACCGTAATGTGACAATGAGTTCTATTTTGCCAGGTTGTGCATGAAATCCGAAACTACCCGTACCCTCAGCTGCACCTGTTGGCTCTGCAAAGCCTGAATCCTTCGAGGCACGCCACCGCGGTGCGAGAAAGCTACGAGGTAAACCCGTTTCTAAAACTCCAGCTCGCCGAGGTTCAAGCGATCCCACCGGAGGGGCTGTTTAGTAGCTGTTTTTTAAATATTGTTATCACTATGATGTATTTCCTTCTGCGTTGTACTAATTTCAATTGGATGCCCACTTCTCCCCAGGAGCTGTTGCAGCTAGAGGACCGTCTGGGGAGTGTCAGTAGAGGAGCGATCCAGACCACCATAGAGCGATTCACCTTTCCTCACAAATACAAGAAGGTAAAGCAGCACACACTGTTCTGTGTATGCGCGTTGTATTGCATCCCCGTCCGGGCCTGACCTTTTGTCCCTCTGTAATCTGACCCGCTAACAGAGAAAGCCCCTGCTGCTGAAGATCGGGGAAGAGGAGGAAACGGATGTGGACGAGAAATGCACCATCTGTTTGTCCATGCTGGAGGACGCAGAGGACGTCAGGTCAGTCAGAGTCCCGCTTTCCCAACGAAAACATGATTTTAAAAGTCTAAAATGAAGTTTCGGCACTTTGGGAATAACGCATATTTGCTTGAGGGCCGTGAGTTCCCCCAACAGAAGTTGCCTCCGCGTGCCTGAATGAACAAAATGAACTCCCTGCTGGTTTTCAGAATTTCTTCGCAGGCACATAACTGTGTTGGTCGAGCTAGAGTTCCACATTGACCCCCCCGCCCTGCGTGTCTCTCTGTCTCTCTGTCCTCCAGGAGATTGCCCTGCATGCACCTCTTCCACCAGGGCTGCGTGGACCAATGGCTGGCCACCAGCAGGAAGTGTCCCATCTGTCGAGTTGACATCGAAACACAGCTGAACCCCGACAGCTGATGAGATTTTACACCCCCGCCCCCACCGACACCTCTCGTCAATCACGCTCGCGTGATTCCTGCTTTCTTCCACCCCTCTTCCTTCCCTCCTTCCCTCCTACACCATACCCCCCCCCCTCCTCCGTTGGGTGCTTTGCCAAATGTCTCCGGACTTCATGTGACATCACCACCCTTCTGACTCACGCTGTACTGAGCCAAGCCAGGAAAACTAACTGCAAGAGAGGCCAACTCTTTTTAAATAAAAGCACATCCTTCCAGAGGCAAAAGACACGCAGACACAAACACACACATACTCACGTACACAGGGTTTACTCGTAGCTTGCTGGTCCTAAGTGGGGTGTTGTTGCTGTTGTGGTGTTGTACTGTAGGTAGTCCTGGGCTGTGTAGCATGTCCTCAAAGCCATGACTTAATGTCCCGAGAGTGGAAATAACACATAACCCACACTGAGCTGGCTACTTTCTCTCTCTCTCTCTCTCTTTCTCTCTCTCTTTCTATATATAAATATATATTTCTCTCTTTTTCAAACACAATCAAAGTGAATATTCTGCCACATACGAAAGCTTAACAAATGCTCTGATGCCATGTTTACCTAAAGATCATTTGTGGTCGTAGTAGAGTAGCAGTAACCAACAAGTGATATCTGATGCTCTGTCGCCTTCTTTTTTCTGGGCGGGGGGTCGTAGGTGGGCAAGCACCAGCTAGCTGAGTGTTTTGAATCTATCATGCAGCTTTGACATTTTGCAATACAGTTGTATATTTACCTTTTTTGGTTGGTGTCACGTGAGATGCTGTGGTGTGAGTAGGTCTCCTTCACCGAGCCCCGTGATCGAGTCGTGGTGTATTTTAAAAGTAGGTAGAAAGTCATTTTTTTACCAAAATGCACTTTTGTCACAGTGTAGCTTGAACCTGACGCGCGGGTTCACGTGTGTGGGCGAGCGGGCGTGCGTGCGTGTGTGTGTGTGTGAGTGTGTGTGCGCGTGCTCGTGTGTCTGTCCGCGTGCGCGCGCTCTGCCCTGCTGTGTGTGATTTAAGGAATGTGTGGCTGTTCAAAGAGTGTGTGTGTGTGTGTGTGTGTGTGTGTGTGTGTGTGTGTTTCAAGGGGGTTCGAAACAACACCCAGACGTTAGCCGCATGGCCGCTGGAGCACTTACACAAAGCCAAAAAAAAAAAAAAGAGAACCAGGGATGATAAATGGAAGTGCAGAGCAAGGTGGGAGGAAGACTCCCGAGTACCTGTCGCTCTTAATCCGGCGCGCGGAATGTTGTGTACTAAAAAATAAAATGCATGTTTCATTGTTGACTTGGGCTGTTAGCTTTTGGTAGCGTTTCTTCCATTTTTTTTTTTTTTTTTTTTTTTTCTAAAAAAAAAAAAAAAGGTACAGAGATGGCTTTGCATGACTTAGTTAATCTGAGCTGTGACTATCTTCACAACACTAACAAACAAACAAACAAACAAACAAACAAACAAAAAAGAACCCTGCGTCGGTGGCTGCTCCCCTGACTCCCGGCGTGTGTTCATCCCGTCTCCTTTGGTGGCAATGACGGGTTCAATGTTTACCTTATTGCCTAAAGAACAAGCACATGTGACAATAGTCATAGCAACACCCCCCCTTCCTCCCCCCCCCCCCCTCGGTATTGCATTATTTTTAGGTATAGAATCATGCAGTGTTTGAGCAGAGAGAGAGGAGCTTGCGTATTGATTTTGTGTATTCGTGTGACAGACCTCCCCTCGTGGTTGCTATGCTGGTTGCTATGCTGTATTGCTAGAACATGTAGAACGTGGTGCGACGGAGGCAGCCTCCCTCTGGCAGTGCACACGGACACACCGACAAGGGGAAAACATTCAGGCTGTTAACACCCATGCCTTTTAGGACCCCCCCCCCCTCCTCCTCCCACACACTGTCCCGAGCACTACAACAGCAAAGGGCAAACCCTGGTGGGTTAAGGATCAATTAATTGGGGGTTAGGGTTATTATTTGCCCCCTGTCCCGTGCACTGCCGGTGGCGAAGCTGCCTCCTCCTGTAGTGGAGTCATCTGTGATGAAGTTTTCATAGTTTACACAGGGTGTTGTCAGTTGAGATGCCTTAAGTATTTAACAATCATAATTTATTACTAACTGTAGATATTGTGGGTATGTATTTAATTTTATATAGTTTTTCGGGGGGTTGGGAGGGAATTGGGTATTGAATCATAATTTATTTATTTAGAAATAACACAAAAATGCTATGAAAAAAAAAAAACTATTACCTCATTTTTGCATTGTTTTAAATGGGAATGCTTTGCATGCAGTTGTACTTTTTGGAACACTAAAGTTAGATGGAAAAAAATAATAATCGAGCCCCGCTGTCTGATCTCCACGAGCTGGCTGTGCGATGTTTACTGTCCAAGGCTGAGCTACTGAGCCCGCTCTCCGCCTCTCTAACTCTCTCTCTCTATCTCTATCTCTCTCTCATATGTGGTGCTGTGGATCTTGGTCACATTCCATTCAATGCAATTTCTCGGATCCCCCATGCTGTGATGTAGTGGATAAACTGCAATGAAGTAATTTCTTTTTGTTTTGCACTCAAATATGGGAACCCTCTCACTGGCAAAAAACAACAAAAAATAATTTAATATTACCATTAAGAACTCTGGCTTTTATTTTGTACGCTCTGCTTCTCACAATGCACTATGGGTCTTAATAACGATCATCTGTGAAGCATGTTTAACTCTTTGTGATGACCTTTTGATTTTCATCTCTGGTGTTTCTCTTCAGTTTGTAGACTTTAAGCATAACAAGTGCCTCGCTTTAAGTGTTAGGAGCTATTTCCATATTACTGAAACCATTGATAACAATCAATCCATGAAGCCGCCATGCCTTATTGGTTGCATAATTGAGTAGAAGAGTGAGTTGGGAAGGAGCTAAGAAAACATTTGACCGTTTCTACAAAAGCCATTGTCCTCAAAATTGAAGTCAAACTGTCCAAAACTAGCTGTTGGTCTGTAGTGGAGCGTTGCATGTTGTGGGGATGGTTGTGACTACGAAGAGGCATGTTTCACTGTGGCATTTCCAAATACTTCAGTAATCCTTCTTTAATTCTCTTTAACTTCTGAGACTTTCCACTTCTACTTTTTTATTTTTATTTGATTTTACCGTCCATCTCTCCTCTCAGAATCTGTCCTCCATTTCCTTTCACAGACTAAAAGGAAGACGAGGATGTTAAAGCACAACCTTTTCTAAAAATGCATGCGTTTTCTCAGGTTTCAATATAGGCTCAATGGTTGAATAGTATATGGAGAAAATATATACAAAGAATATATCAGAAAAAAACATAATTTTGTTGCTTTTTGAAACTGAAAAACAAAACTGAAGAGAAAATATCCCAAAAAGTGCCAGTGAAAGGGCTGCCGCCATCCTTGTATGAAACTCTGCTGTTTAGCTGTGAATGCGCAATGTTTTTCAATATAGGATATTTTATCTGAAAATAGAACTATTTATCATTCATATTAAAGCAATAGCGCATTAATGGTGATGTGTGTGTTGATGAACAAATGGATGAGCATATTATGGGTACATGTTAGAATCACATGTGGTGGAATTTTGTACTTTATTACAAAAAAGTACTACTAATAATAATGATTTCAAACGTTGCATTGCTAAACCCAAACTGTTCAGTTTTTTAATTTTAATTTTATTTCATGGCTTGTATATTATCCTTTTGTATGTGCTCTTTTTGTAATAAATTGGATAAAATGGACATGTTCTGATTCATGTCTTAGTTTCTTGTGTCCTATGATGTTCCAAGTGTATTTCTAAATTGAACTTTTAGCTGTTATTTCATAAAAAAAAGAAGTGTAAAGTGTAAAGATGATTCCATCATCTTCAGTTTTCACACTCAACATACAAAAAAAGCACCATTAAAAAATAATAATTTGGGGGCATTTCCTTGGGTTCATCCCTCACTCCACATTAGGCATAGTCTAAAATGATTGTCAATATAAAAGTATTGATGAGAGAAGCATTAAAAGTGATTTATGTAGGTTTGGGTGTTAGTTTAATTCAATTAGTGAGTCAGACGGAAAGGCTGTAATGCAAAAATAATTTAATATTTTTATAAAATCTAAGTTATAACAAAACAACTAAACAAACCATCCCTGAAACATAAAAAAGAAATGGCACATTCGGCTTCCTGTCACACGGAGATATTGTCACAGTGTTTCGTTGCAGGCTCTATTCCTATGGTAGTATTTTAAAAATCCAACTACAATATAATAATACCGAAAACTATGAATATAAAAACCCATCTCCGTTCCTGAGATATGAAACCTGCCAGAGCATGATCTCTTTGATCATTGCTTTTAAACACGAGGGAAGCTTTTTTTTCCCCCCAACGCGAGTCCGTATGAATAAATAGATATTCTAGTATTTTGGGTAGAAGACTCTTGCGATCACCCCGTCGGCCTTCTTGGTGTCCAGCCACTTCCCGCACAGGAAGATGGTGGTGACCCCGTTGGCGGTGTTGGTGACCTCCACGCGGTCCAGCAGCCAGCCGGGGCTCAGGCCGGAGTTGTCGTGCTCCACCCGGACCTTCTGCAGCTCGCCCATGTCCAGCATCTCCAGCAGGAACCGGTCCGTCTGCTCCCGTTCGAAAAGGTTCCGGAACTTCTGCCGCAGCTGCCGGCGGCCCGAATCTCCGTTGGAGCCGTAGATGGTGATGAAGACGTTGGCGTCCGTGCCCGCCCCCTTCTCGTCGCCCGTGATGACGATGATTTCGTACTTGACGGGCACGAGGCTTCGAGCTTTGCTGGCGAAGCTCTCGATGGCCTTCGTGCACTCGAAGGTGGAGAAATCCTCCCTCTTCGGGGAGAGAGGGATGAGGGCATTGCAGCTGAAGATGTACCTGGAAGGGGGAGGGGGGCGTGGGGGGGGGGCAGTATGAGCTCAATACCCCGACTTGCGCGTGGATCGTAGATTTGATGTCTTACTTGTTTCCCAGCTCCCTTTCAGTGACAACCACCTCCTCCACGCGCCAGAATACCTCCCCCTTCACTTTCTTTCCATCCTTGGGTGTGTGTCCCAGGCAGATGCCAGCGATGTCCCCCAAGTTCTTGGACGAGAACTCGAACCTGTCAACATTTCCCCTGAGAAGAGAGGAAAACAAGCACTTCAGAGCCCGTTTGCCTAAATTGGCCGGCATACTTTAAATTCATGCCGCTGTCAGTTGGTTCTGGATGGTTTAATGTCGTAGTCAATTGCAGCGTTGTCCTGAGCTCAAGTGCTCGGCGCTGGTGGGGATTATCATAATAAGTGCGGGGGCCGGATTGGGAGGAGAGAAAGCACGTTTCTCTGAGCTTTCTCGTGTCCACGTGTTGCGTCTCATTAAACTAATCCTGCACCAAGTACCTACCGCAAGAACCGCTTCTTCTTGGAGGAGTTCTCCATTGCAAATTCTTTTGATCGGCCTTTCCTCCCCTCGAGTGCAATCCAGGCACTTTCTTTGGTTTCCGTGTCTCCAGTTGTGACACAAATTTCATACTCTAAAGAAAACACGGTTTCAGTGAATCTGTTGTCAACATGTCGTCCATTTCCACACGGATTATACATCAGACGTTAAGATCCGTTGCACAGAAATACATCTTTAAGGTTTTCTATTACATGGAAGCAGATTTTTATACTATTCATAGAAATGCATGCACATAATCCAATTTTGTCTCATTGATGTCAGCCTCTCTGTAAGCCACTGCTAATGAAAGCAGACCATCTCATCATCGCAGCTTTAGAGCGGCTTTCGCTGCGAACAAGCCACCGGGAACGCAATGAATTTGTCAATAACCTCACTGCGAACTGTCTTCCAAAAACGGCTACCTACAAAACAGGAAGGAAGTCGGCAGTGTGGTGGCCTTACTCGTCTTCTCGCCGAGGTCCAAGTAGTCGTTGTTGGCGCATGCCAGCTCTCTCATTATCTGTCCGTCGTCGACGTTCTTGGCGAGCCAGCGGTCGCAGGGGAAACGAAACGTTTTGTCCAGGATCTCATCCTTCACGTCGATGTATTCCAGGTGCCATCCTGCAGCGGGACCTGCGAGTGATGTGAACAGTGGAAGCAAATGCAGGCAGGAAGTAGAACGGTGAAAACGTGAGCAGCAACGTTTCAGGCCAACAAGTGGAAAGCAACGTCACCGCTTCAGGTTCCCTCAAACCATCAAATCAGGTTCCATTAAAACGGTGACACTCAAATCCCACTTTTCACGATGCCGAGTTACAAAGTCCAGGGCTGACCTGAGTTGTCGTGCCAGACCCGGACTTTGGAGAGCTCTCCCATGCTGAGGATATCCGTGAAGCGGAACGTGTCCACCTGCTTGCGCTCAAACTTGTTGGACCTCTGGGACTCTTTCAAAGCGAGCTCTCCTGTGTCTCCGTTCTCTCCGAAAACAATGATCCACACGTTGGCGTCGGTGCCCGCCCCTGGGGGAGAGGGTGGGGGGGAGTCACACTTTTAGAAAGCAAACATCCAAATTCTTGCCTCCCTGGAACAAAAACAAGATTGCTTGAACAAAGAACAATGAGGATGTACAGCTTGGCAAAGTACTGTGAATGAATATTGATTTCCACTTCCAAAATCAGATATAGCACATCATAGCTTTATTTAAACCATATCATTGTAATGCCACATCTAAATGCATCTTTTCCATTCTTGAAATGATTAACTATAAAAATCCGCTTGATATGATTGTAGATCTTTTAAACAGCAATGCAGCGTTTTTTTGAATTGCCAATAAATACTGGGATTGCAAAGCCCCGAGGAAGCTGATCTGCCAACAACCGGCCACATTATGCAGAGTAAAATGAGAAAGCCGTGTTTCTTTGACTCAGACAGCCCGTCTGTAATCCCTCTGTGCTTCATTATTTCATTACAGTGAGTTAGACGCTAAGTGAATCTGTAGTAGGCGATCACGTCACTCATTCTGCAGCAGGTTTCAGGTTTAGTTCTACACCCGTCTGTGCACAAAACTAGAAATCCGATTCTTTTATTAACCCTTTTACTGAGCAATACTGCTGTTGCATTTCATGTAGCGTGTAACTCTCTTTCCATATACCTCTTGACTTTCAATACCTCTTCATACTGTACATGCAGATCAACCCATCATGATCCCAGAGGAGAGCATTCATCTCTGCACAGCATCGCCTGTGTAATGTTGTCTGCCTGCGTGTGTGTGTGTGTGTGTGTGTGTGTCTGTCTATCAGCCAGGCTCATTATTCCTCCGAGAGCCTCAGCGGCGGTGCGGGGCAACGTCTTAGCTTCCAGTAACAGCCAGAGGCGGAGAGCAGTCCTTTGAAGTCGGCTCAGACTTCTCACCGTGTTATCGTATTGATCAGCAGCACTACTGAGCTATAGGAAATACCGCACGAGGAAAGGAGGGAGCAGAGCCGCGCGCAAGGCTTTCTTAAGAAGATTCCTTTCATTTCCACGTTGGAGTCAAACATTAATTATTTCGGCTTTGCTCCCGCTGCAGAAGGGCAGGTCAGACGGGAGTGATCATTGTGATGTATGCATGAATTGAGCCGCTAGCGTTGGATAATAGTCGAGAGAATGTGATTACAGTCAAAGAGATTCGGCAGGGTTGTGGCGCTAATTTGACGTTACAGGGTGAGGAGTTCACTCATCTGAGAGCATCGAGCCCACATCCACCGGGAACGGAGCCACGTAAGGGCCTGCAGGTTTCCCCCAAGTGCTTCATTCTGAACGGGGTTCGGTAAATGGTCGAGAGAGGTGATGGCCAGATGGACCCAGGGCACAGTTTGACAAAGTGAAATCTCTCAGCTGACACTTCAGCATCCTTCAGCATCCGCTTTTTCTTGTGTACATGCTATAGTGGTTTGATTTGATATAACACACCCTTTAGAGCGGCGGTCTCCAGCCCGGTTCACGACCCTCCAAGGGGTCACTAGATAACTCTAGTATGGAAAGGCACAGCACCTTTGCTACGGTTTGCTTTTCTTCATGTTGTTGATCCGCCGGCGTGTGGTGCGGACTTACCTGAACTGTCACTGGTCTTGACCTGGACGATGTAAGTGGTGAGCTCCACCATCAGCTCCTCGTCCACCACAGCAGCCATCTCGCACATGGTGGTCCTCTTCGGTCCACGGGTCCTGGAGAGCCACTCCTCATAGGTGAACACGGACACCTCCTCTGTGGCCAGGTTACGCAGGACCACCTGCAAGCACAGAGTTAGCTGACAAAAAGTATGAATGCTCACTTAATCATGCTTACAATAAAAACAAAGCTAACATTTTGATTTTAAAGGTAGAATGTTTTCCACTTTGGATCAACGTGTTGGTAAGAGAACATTTATTAATTAGTGCACCTCAGGCTGATGGAAACGTCCAAAAATCATGGACAAGTTAAAAATGTTGACCTGATGATGGCGCTAGAAGGACAATTAACCTTTTCAGCTTGAATGTCTGCACCAAACGTTACGGTACTCCATTCAAATAGTTGAGATATCTCAGTCAGATCCGAAGAGATGGACCGACATCCCAGCGTGGATTAAAGAAGAGTTGATATGAATGAATAAATGATCACATCATGGACACACACCCTGCCTCCCCCAGGATGTCTGATGTCTGATCACCGGTCCTGGGAATCGTTTCATTACAAGATAAAGACTCAGCTCAGGCAGCCGCACTCGTAATAACTCTCCACTCTGCATATTTATTTGTGCAGATTACTCTGCTGGCAGCCTGCCCGGTGCACTGTCGTGTCCTTTTCAATACATGCACCCGGCGATCCATGAAGGCAGCACATCTGCTTGTGATGCCGAACACACAGGGCTCTGTGCAGGGTCAAGTCAAGGAGATGTTTCGCAGTCGCCGAGTCCCAGGCACGAGCGGACAGGGCCCGCTATTGTTCCTGACTGCTGGGCTGCTCTGCAGGCAGTGGTGACTTCACCAGGGGAGACATTTGCATAGGAAATGTGTTCTGTTTCCTCCAAACATTTGGCCACAGACGTCAGACAGAATTTGGAGGTGAGCGGCGGCAGTTGCACTTCCAAAGTCATCGAAGGAGAAAATAACTAGGTGTATTAATGGAGTTGATTATGTTGCTGGAATATTCATTAAAATTAGGGATATTTGCACAACCGCACACCATTTCACTCTTAAGGAAATTCAAAATCTCTGAGTACTGACTACACCAACACGCTGTGCTCATTGCTGCGTGTGCACGAGGGTGATGGTGCCAGAACAAAGAGCGTGGTGAGTAAATGGTTCAAAATGCTCACTCCAGGAATTCTGGGAGCTGCTGTGTGTGCCTGCGTATTTGTGGCTGGGTGACTCACTCCTCCTTCTCCTGCAGGCAGGCATAGATGTGTGTCTGTTTTTGTGTGTGATATAACAGATTGAGTGATCCTGTGACCTACAGCGTACAGTGCCAGCGTAGAAAACACAAACCTCCAAGTGCTTTGTACTATTGATTTTGGAAGAACGTGCTGCTTTTTGTGCTCCTGGTTTCATGGTTTATGGAGGAAATTAGCGATTGTATGAGATTAGCCCTTAACGGGAATATAGAATTCCTCTGCATGGTGCAATGTAAGCTCACTCTGGAGACTTAAACCTGTTTAAAGCCTTTCTTTTGCTGTAATTGTTGACAGATTTCTTGCATCTAAACACGTTTATCCTGGTGCCTACTTTACCCACAATGCAACTGAACCACTGACTGATTGTTGACTAGAGCTGCCTCAGGCAGAGATGAGGAGGAGGCCACAGAGGTCAGGTAAGCTCGTTTCTTTCATCTCCACAAGTTATTTGCTATTTAAATCCCAAAATGTGTTTATACGAAACAGAAGTTCACCTCAAGATCTGAGTACAGACTTTAGTGTGAACAATTGGTGGACTTCTCCTTCAAGGTGATCTGACCTGATCCAGGAACCAGTCGGGTCGACTGCCGGAGCCATCGATGCGAAGCCTCATTTTCCTCAGTGGAGCGACGTCATCGATCTCCATGTTGAAAGTGTCCTCCTGACCGCGCTCGAACCTGTTGTGGAACACATAGAGGACACAGAGTTTATGAGGTGCAGTGTAAGAAGACTGTTTCTCCACAATGCTTTTTTTCCATGAAGGGCTACCTGTCCTCATTCTTCTGCAGCAGCATCTCCTCCGTGCTGCCGTTGGCTCCGAATACAGACATGAAGATCAGGGTGTCTGTTCCTGCGTCCTGCACGTCCCCCGTTACTACGGTAACCTCGTAAATAATCTGATGGGAATATATTAGACGTTAAGTTAAATCAAATAACATTATATTTATAGTTATATTTCTAAGTAACATAAATAGATATGAAGACAAAGGACAACCATTTAATGGAATAAATGAACCTCAAATATGTCAATTTTGATGCATATTCTTAGCTGAACAACTTAATCATTACACACCACATTACGGATATCTAAATACCTGCTGGGAGATGGAAATGGCCTCTGCATCCAGCACGCTGAACACTCGAGCAGTCAGACCATCTCCTCGATCTTTGGCCAGCCAGCACTTGCAAGCAAAGATATATTTGACCCCTTTGGTTGGCACAGCAACAGACAGCTCATCAACCAGCCAGCAGCTCTCAGGAGTGGCCCCGTCATGACCTAGCTGCAGGCACCACGGGCAACAATCACTACCAGAAACGTGGGTGGGTTTTTTCTCTTTTTTTTTTCCAATGTGCGAGTGTGTGCGGATGCTTGAAAGCGGACGATCATCCCGCCCCCTCACCTCGACTTTTTTGATCTCCCCCACGTCTGAGCCGTGGCACTGAAAGCTCTCCAGGGAGCCGGCCTCAAAGCCCTTCCTCTCGCCCGGCAGGTCCAGCCACAACCTCTGTGTCTGGGTGTGATTGGCCCCGATGATGATCACATAAGCCCTGCTGGTGGTGCTCGCGTCCCGCTCCAGTCCGGTGCAGATGGTGATGTGGTATGGAATGACTGCAGAGGAAGGCAACGGCACTTATTAACTCACGGCGCGCCAGAGATTATGTAAAGATGTCCCCGTTAGAACGGTGATGACAAACATTACAGTTTACAATGCCGAATCATTTTCTTACTGGGAAGCTCAACTTCCTCCTCCTCCTCCTCCTCCTTCTTCTTCTTGCTCTTTTTGTTCATGTTATTGTCGACGCTCTTCACTGTCACAGCTGTGTTCTTCTTTTTACTGCTTTCTCTAACACCTTCGTAGCCCTGGAATAACACAACACACACACACACACACACACAGTGATGCAGGTACATACAGCAACACAGATTACTAATACCTGTATCACCTCCTACACATAATCGCAGTCGTCTTCAATGCTACCTTGACATAGAAGACTCTCTCAATGCGTCGGTCCTCCCTCTTCCTGGACAGCCAACGCTCACATAAGAAGAGATACACCTCTTCTGTGTCCACGTCGAACACCTCCACCTGGTCCAAGTACCAGTCGGCACTCATCATGCTGTTGTCGTGGCGCATTTTGATCCTGAAAACCTGTCCGAGGTCAACGGCTTCTATAGTGAACTTATCCACCTAAAAGATGAGCGTGAACAAGGAAATAATAACAGAGGCTTAAGCGCGTACTGGGTTCGATGTATTTGCTGTGGCACACAAAAGGCTTTCTTACAGATCCCCGTTCAAACTTGTTGCTGTTTGTCTCCGACTTGCGGAGTTTCCTCTCCCCAGTGTCCCCCTGGTCCCCGTAAATGGTGAGGAAGACGTTGGCGTCGGTGCCGGCTCCGTACACGTCGCCCGTCGTCACCGACACTGTGTATGTGTGAGCTGCGTGGGGAAGGTGGGCAGGGGGGGGGGAGTCTTGTGTCAGAACTGTCTCTCAGAAAGGTGGGTGTCCACAACAGGCCCGACACATGGCGCAGGTATTCCTGCTGTGTTCTGCTGAATGTGATGACATACTCTCCAGGGCATCTTCCACCTCCACCTCGGTGACTTTCAGGTTCCCGTCTCGGGAGAGCTTCTCGGTGATGATGTCCGAGGGCACCAGCTCTCGCACGGTTTCTCCGTCGTCCTCCGACTTGGCGAGCCAACATTCGCACGGGAAGATGACGGTCTCCGAGCCCTACAGAGAGAGGAGGGCCGATTCATTTGTGTGTTCTTGCAAACAGTGGACGTGATGTTCAGCTCTGAAATCGCTGTGCTTGTTTAACCGCATCTATCTGTGCAGAGAACATCACCACCTGCTGACCGAAAATGGTGGTTGAGGGTCACCAGTGGATGTGTTGGTAAGTAATGGGCCCCAAAATCTGAGAAGTTTGTTAAGCATAGAGATGTTTTTTGAGGCACTTTGCTTAATTTAGGAGCCAAATTTTGACTTTTTTACTGAATTGAATTGGTAGTTACTCAACAGAATGAGATCTTCCATACAAAAACAAACCATCATCAAACAGTATTCGCTCCCAATTTTAATCTTAAAATGCTGCGCACATTGATGAACCGTTAATAACCATCATAACAACCTGATATATTACATCATTACTCATTATGACTTTTTCACTAGAGCAACATTTTCATTGCAGGTTTTTTTTTTTTTGTTACCTTTCCCTTCCGGAGCAGACGTCTGATCTCCACTCGGTCCAGGTGCCAGCCCGGGTTGACCCCCCGGTTGTCATGGCCGATCCGGATCTTTTCAATTACATCCCCCACATCTTCTAGCTGCGCAGAAAGCAGAAATAAACGACCTGAATGCATTGAATTCAGCCTGAAGTGATGCCTTTGCTGTTCTCCAATCTACTCATTTATTGCACCTCGACAATAAACATGTCTTCAGCTCCTCTCTCAAAGTACATCCTCCTCTCCCTCTTGTTGACGCACAGAGACTTCTGCTGGGTGCACACTGCGTCCCTCCCGTAGAGGACAATGAAGACGTCTGCGTCCGTGCCGGCGGCGAACACGTCGCTGGTGAAGGTCTTGATTTCATATGGGACGACTACCAAATTAAGACAAATCAAAAACACATTATGTGCATCAAATAAGAAACACGTTTGTGTCAGTGTGACTGTCGTGCGGTGACCGTTTACATGGCGTGTAAAGCTCCGTCTGGAGGGAATTAGGGAAAAGGTCCCTGACGATGGCCCCGTCGTCCTCCCCTTTGTCCAACCAGCGGCCGCAGGGGAAGTGCAGTTTCCGACCGAGAGACGGGGCGTCGATCTCCACCCAGTCGAGGAACCAGCCTGCTGATCCTCCACCTTGAAGACAGAACATTGTGCTGGTGTGGACGCCCTTTTGCATGGCGCGCTGCCCAGGCAGAGGGGGGGTGGACTCCTATGTGGTCCTACCGTACCACAGTTGTCGTGTCCAACGCGCAGCTTCTTCAGCGGCCCGATGTCCACAGCTTCCACGGTGAACTCATCGACCATGCCCCGCTCAAACTTGTTCTTATGAGTCTTTGACGCCTCCAGCTTAATTGTCCCTGCAGATGCGCACGACATAGAGTGGTGATACTGATATATTTTCTTTTTTTTACCCATGCAGAGATATGTGAGATCAGTAGGATAGTTTAAAGTGTTACCTGTGTCGTCCTTGGTACCGTACATTATCATAAAGACGTTAGCATCAGTTCCTGCATACTTTTTGTCGCCAGTTTTTATCCTCATCGTGTAAGTTGTCGACATGGCTGTAATGACAAGAAACATGAAGAAATTAAACAGTAGGCCATCGTGTGATTGTTATTTCTGTTCATTTTTTCCTTTGAAACTAAATTAAATGAATGTCTTCTTGAGAGGTCGCTTTGTTTCTTGTCTTCCTCTTTTCCTCTCACCCTTCTGTTCAAGGCCAAGCGTGGTTTCAGAGTCTTCCTCATCATCATCATCTCCTTTCTTCATAAAGGCCTCGTCCACAGGAACTAGCTCCCTGGCCAGCTGTCCGTCATCCTCATCGACAGCCAGCCAGCGTTTACAGGGGAAAAAGTACCTAAAACACACATATACATATTGAATATGTGATAAATGCTGTGCAGTGAAAATGTTCCTGGGTGTAAAAACACTCAATGATAGTAGGCCAACTCCCTTTAGATGAACAGAATGGTCACCAGACTGTTTCAGAGTACCTTTTCCCGCCACACAGAGGAGCCCTTCGGACATTTTATGAGCAAAGCTTCTGCATTTGCAATGAAGGATGATGCTGTTTGGAAAAACCTTTGGCAATGATGTCCGCAATGACTCAGCAATGTGCAAATGATGCCTTATCAATCAAAGCAATTATGATCGATTTTTCTGTGATTGTTTTAGGGAATTACCTAATTGATTATTCAAGGTCCTTATCTGTCAACCCAGTTGCACCTCTGAATTAGAGCAGATTGATCCCTTCTCCTTATCTGATGAGATCATGACTCACGTGGTGTCATCTTTGTTGTCCACAATTTCCACTCTGTCCAAGAACCAGCCGGCACTGGCCTGGCTGTTGTCATGTCGGATCCGCAGCTTCTTCAGGGTCCCCAAGTCCACCGCCGTGATGTCGAAAATGTCCTCCTGGGTCACACGCGTTCAAACCAGTAACAAAAGGGTCAAGAAATGTCACAGGTCTCAGTTTAGTAGTCCATGAGAACCTCATTACTTATTTATTTGATCTGTATTTAACCTGCAAGGCTCCTTAGATCCAACATGTGTTTGACTATTAAGGCTCATCCGGGGTAGACAGTATCGACGATAACAACCATGACCACGCAGAACACAGCCGATCACGCGTGTCTATACATTATGAACAGTGTTTCCTATAAGCACCGCTCTTTGGGCTAAGCTAACCAATGCTACTCCTGAATTTGGCCTCACATCTAACAAATACGAGAGGTATGAATCTTCTCATCCAACTCTCTGTAAGAAAAAGAAAAAATATAATTGCCAGACTGTCAGAAAAAAAGTTTATATCAACACTAGATTATGAAATGAAAACGAGCAGATAGAACCGGCAGCAAAGCAAAGCTTACCTGGCCTTTCTCAAATTTGTTCAGGTTGTTTGCCTTCCTGAGCTGGCGCTCCCCCGTGTCGCCGATCTCTCCATAAATGTTGACGTAAACATTGGCATCCGTCCCAGCCCCCCACATCGTCCCGGTGAACACGTGGACCTCGTATGAGTTCACTGAGAAGAAAACACGGTCAGGGAGACGCGTGTTGTGAGTGACCATTTTACCTGGCGAGCAAATGGCCACGTTCCATTGATGGTGGACTCACCCTCCAGGTCTTCATTGCCCTCGGTCAGCAGCTCCACCACGATCTCCCCGTCCTCCTCATCCCTGGCCAGCCAGCGGTCACACGGGAAGGCGAACGCCTCCACCACTTCCTGCAGCCGCTCAACTATCTCCACCTCCTCCTCCTCCTCTTTCTTCTTCTTCTTCTTGTCCTTCTTCTTGTCTTTCTTGGCGTCCTGCTTCTTCACCTCGACCTGCACCATCGCCATCGTCAGCCGCTTGATGTCCCACCTTCTCCAAGAAACCAGCCCGTCTCCGATGCCCTTCCCGTCGTGGGTAGATTCGCATCTTGTAGATTTTACCAACATCCAGAGCCTCAATCTGAGTTTGTAGAGTATGATACAAGAGTCAAACCGAGATTTTAAATCTCCTGCATACATTGTAATAGCCGATGAAAAGCCGTATACAGACCCTGAAGATCTCCGTGGTGCCGCGTTCAAAATTGTTGGAACGACTCTTGAGCACGAGGACTTCAGTTTTTCCTTCGTCTCCGTAAATCTGACAGAAGACGTTGGCATTGGTGCCACCTGCTCGCACGTCCCCTGTGACCACTGTTACTTCATAGTTGATCACTGTAAGCGAAGGAGAGGCAACTCACAGTCACCATTACTGTGTTAACAATCCCTTCATTCTGAGTGAACTATGTTGGTGTCGTTTACATTGTTCGATGTCCAATATCTCACTGGGATAAATCTCCACCTCCACTTTCCCATCAGCCTCGTCTTTGCAGAGCCAGCGGTGGCTGGGGAACATGTACTGCTTCCCATGAACCGGCACGGAGATCTGGACGCTGTCCAGAAACCAGCCGGCCCGCAGGCCCTCGTTCATGTGACCAATCAGGAAGCGGTTGATCTGAAAGCACAGGGGACACCAGCTGTAAACATAAACTCTGTTCTTCTGTGAAGCACATCCACGGTCTGGAGAACTTGCCTGTCCGATGTCAAAGGTGTCAATGGTGAAGATGTCCGTTTGTCCCGTCTCAAAGTAGTTCCTGAGGTCGTTGTCGGAAACAGCCAGTATCGTCTTGTTGGTGTCGCCCTTCTCTCCGTACAGCTTGACAAACACCCTGGAGTCCGAGCTGGCTCCGCTCACGCTGCCCGTCTTTATTGCTATGTGGTAGCTGACATCTTGGGAGGATGCACAGACGGGAGTTAAAGATGTTTTTAAGACCCGGAATCGAATGACAGTTTGCTTAACGTATCCCGTTATCTCGGCACTCACTGAAGAGGCGCAGGCCATCTCCAGCTGGGACTAACTCACGGACAATCTGTCCATCATCCTCATTACGGTCCAACCACCTGAAGGGAAAAAACGCATAGAAACACACAAACTGATGGTTGATTTAAGGGACATTAAATCCCAATTAGATCAAACACAAAACAGTTGTTCACCATTCTGTTGCATCGTAAGCTAGAAACCCCTTTGTATCAAGACACACAGACAGGAAGAACTCCTTTCTAAATGTAACACTGCACCTCCGCTTGCGGTTTGGCACCGGTTACTAAATGAGAGAGCTGGCTGACTACTTTGCACTTAGTGACTATTTGTAGTGTACAACTCATCCATTAGCTGCCTACTCAAATACCTGCCACTGAAGAACTAATGAAGGTAGGTGTGGCTTTTTGGGCGAGTCATTTTCTTTCTTGGGAGAAAGCATGACCTCGCCATTTACTACTTCCACATTATGTACCATGGATTAAAACAAGCCATAACATGCTGATTAGACACTGCTATTATGTGCTAGAAGGTACTTTATTTTACCTTTAGAGTTAGACCCCCTCGCTTCCAGCCATTACGCAAACCTAGGACAACCGTGTTCTTGCTACAGCTTTAGAAGTACCATAAATACTTAATAGGGCTTTCGATCTTATCGCATGACTTTCTACAAGAAAGCATCTGTATCCCAAAATATCTTCTAACCCTTTATGCACTGTCTAAAGTGCTATTGCCTTGCCTGAAACAGGGGAACTCGGTGGCCAAACTCTCAGGCTGGCCATCTTCCCGGACCATCACCTTGTCAAGGAACCAACCGCAGCCTCCGCCGCGGCCGTCGTGGCCGACGCGCACCCTGCGCACTTGGCCCAAAGACACCGACTCGATGAGAAACTCGTCGTGCTGACGGAAGACAGGATTAAAACGGATTAAAGGATACCTGCAGTGCATCTCCCAGGCAATGGATTCATTTAGTGTGTATTTATAGTGCACCCACGTTGCCCTTTTCAAATTTGTTGACGTTGTTCTTGCTCATAAACATGAGTCTCTCCCCCGTGTCGCCCAGGTCACCGATGACATTAAGGAAGACGCTCGCGTCGGTGCCACTGCCACTGACGTTGCCGGTGCAGATGGTAACACGGTACTTTATCACTGACAAACACAAAAAACAAGTGGAGGACACTCACATAATAGCGCACAAACCGCCTGCATTCTCACAAAGAGCTTGTGTGCATCTGAGATCAAGTTGTCGATTCCTTACGAGGCAGCGGCTCATTGATGAGTGACCCCGTAGCTGG